CTGAAGAAAGTTATAGCGGTAAATAAAATCGCTGCACATGCGCTGCCTGCAGCTGTTGTTGTTGCTGCTTTGGTTCAACTTAGTGCTGCATACATACTGTTTCAAGAAAATCCGAACTGACTGTACGTATTTATTTATTTATTTTTGTTGATTTGAGTGCGGATATTATTATATTATATTTTTTCTATTTCAGTGAGCTGAAGATGGGAATTGGAAACATTAATGAAGAAATTGAATTTTTGTCTTTTATTAAAAGTGACAAAATTGAGCGAATCCCCTCTTTTTTATTCAAGAATAAAATACACATCCACAAATGCATGGGCATTTTTTCAGTTTGCTTTTGGCATCGTGTTCTGTTCTTATTTTATTGTGCTTCCTCGTCCGTGTTCTTCTTGCAACTCGGCCATACACGGAATATACAAGTATATACACCTGTTGTGTAAGTAAATGCCAAAATATAATTAAGTGTATTTGAATTAAGTCATTCAAAGAAAATATTCATGACAAGAAACAAATGTAAAGGATATAATTAATTGCACAGGATGGCTGTATACATACATATAAATGTAAATACATACAAGACTAAGTACATATGTATATAGATTCACACATTTTCATGTTGATTTCTTGAGCTGAGCACGTTGCAAATTTCGAAATTAGCACACATTTAGCTTTATGCCACAATTATTATTTCTGCTCTTGTGTAGGGAATATAGTAGACAACCCGACAACAATAGCCCAGGGACTTGGGTCTAGTTATGAACATGCATATATGCTTTGTATACTTGTATATACATATCCACAAGGGCGCACGAAGATTTTCACAAAAAGAGGGTTAGATTTCTATAATCTTTTAGGCCTTGATTTGAACATATTAACGATACGAATATTGAATAACGCTCATAAAGAAAAACCGATTAGTTTCAGTATGCTATTCTAATTTCTGGTAAGTTCTTATTTAAAGGCAGAATTTATCTAGAGTTGAACCCCTTGACTAAAGAGTGGGGATATAATTCTTAGTTTGAATCCTCAGGTGGAAAATTTGTCTCTGTTCGAACATTTTTAATAAAATTTAGATGATAACTTCTTAGTTGTGATAGAAATATATAACCCTTGTCATAGTCGTCCTCTAATTGATCCCCCCTGGCCGTTCCTGCATACGCCCTTGCATATATTGTGTGTGAGTATTGGACGTTTGTAGGCACAACTAATTTTTGTGTTGTTCGCTTTGTTTGTTGGCATATATGTTTTACATCAAAGTACATTTGTTTTATAAATTTCGACTGCCACTGCTGGCTGTCGTTGCTGTTGATGTAGCTGCTGTTGTTGTTGTGGTTGTTGTTGCCAATGAATTAGAGTTGCAGAGCAGCAGCAACAACAGGCGGAACAATAACAACAAAAAGTACAAACATTGTCATGCATGTCATACATACAGACAATGGGAATGTGAATGTGAATGTGCCGGCATAGTTTGGAGTTGGCAACAAATATTTTACATTTGTTAAAAGTTTATACAACTCTTTGGCAAAGGGTGTAGCAGGAGTAACGGGAGTACCGGGCGTACCGGGGAATTGCCTTTTAATTAAGATAAGAGTGTGTACTTTTTAAATCGTGATGCCCGCATAGAAGTTGAAGCTGCTGTCGGTGATAAGGCCCACGTACCACGTCGGTGGGGGGCTCAACAGAATGTTGTCATACACAACAGTAATTATATAACCATATAATATTGTTGTACTTCCATATCAACTTTGAATGCAAATGACACATTTGTTCATTTTTATTAATCATAAAAAATGTCAGATGCAAATGGGCGTAACCAGTGATTAGAAATGAACATTTTCTTGAAAGGAGAAGCCCAAAAAAAAAAAAAAAAAACAACAGGTCGGAACTAACTACTCTTTTTAATACAAAATGAACTATTTTTAATGATATAGACAAAACAAAATTTTACAATGAAATTTTTCATTACTAATTACAAGTACCACATTGTTTTGAGTTGTTTATAAGCATATTTAAGAGTCATAAAATGATTTGTGCTCATGAATCATTTCTAATTTTATGCATTGATAAATAAAATCAACATAAAATATAGGGTTTATGACGCATAACATTACATTGAGGTCACAATTAACCTACTTCATCAAACTGTTCATGTTTTTTAACCTGTTAGACAATATCGAGCTCAAACCATTCATGTCGAGCTTTATGTGAAAAGTGCCTAAAGAAAGCCTGGAACGGGCTTTGTGGGCATAATCCGCAATTGTTAATTTCCTGCTAAAATAACAATTACTCAGAATATATCGAAGGAAGCATGAGCAATTGCGGAATCATCGCTCTCGGATTTGTTCATACATACATATATAAGACCCGCATGTGTTCGCAGTTTTCGATCGAACTCGTTTCGACTAGAACCCGCATGCAAGCAATGTGACTATTAACCGATCTGTCAACATTTTGGTTTCAAAGAATCAAAAAAGCACAGAAAAAGGCCCATATGTAAATATGTCCATATGCAAATAATTATATAACACTGCTCATTCTTTCAATAACTAATGATGATAGCAAAGGACAAACATTAGCATCACTGTACGAATCCGTATATTGTTGACAATCCACTTGTTTATGTTTCAATCACAACTATAAACCTCAATCAAAGCAGAGAGACTTCCATGGACATCAACAGAGCCAACCATTTTATTATACAAGTATGTGTAGATCTGCTAACATTTTTTCAAAAATATTTAAATGCGTTTTTGTTGTATATTAGATATGTGTTTATATTCAACAGATGATCAGACAAATTGAATAGCTAAACCTGATTATTTACCAATGGGAATGAAGGCAAACATGTGCAAAAAATATTGTCAGACCCACCGATATTGCAAAATAAGTGAGCCGCGAATTAATGATCATAATACATATATATGTATATTCGATCTTCATTTCGTTATTAGTTTATTAGGATATCGGTTTTATTCTTTGTTTTTTTTTTCATTTAATAAGCAAAGCATAGTTGAGAATTAAAGTGCTTTCTGAAATTGTCGTTTCGTCAACATTTAGATTAATCTGAAGTACTTAGCAGTATTTTTATATTTCAATTTTAAATTTTGCAAATACAGAAACTCTTTTCAATGTCTAACTTCAATTAAAGGAAAAAGATTCAGTAATAGCTATGAAAATGATAAGTTATGTCTACATTGATGTTTTATTTGAAATGATGTACGAGTTCGCCATATTTTTCTTCTCTGTGACAGCTGACATGTGCTGTTGTTATTTATTTAAAACAGATTTCGCTTTTTAGTAGTAGTTTTTTCACATGTTTTCTGTTACGCCCTTATCACTTTCATTCATTCATGGTAAATGCTTGTACGAGTATATATGTTCGAGTATGTAAACAAACGACAATGGCCTGCAAAATAAATTATGCATATTTGCTCATTTGTTAATTTCGTTTTTGTTTCTTTTTTCTGCTTCATTTTGTAAAACGTTTTAAAGCAAATAGCAAAAAATGAACCATGAAAAACAAAAGCAACGTAACGCCAGCGGATGCTCGCAACTGAGATAATCGAATAGTTTTATGAAATATATGTACAAGATTAACATGTTAGCTCATATATATACTTGTATATACTTATATATGTGTGTGTGTGTATCTGTTGTGCTTGACTTAATGCAGCAATTTGCATGACGACATTGTTGGGACTTCAATTTTTGTTCAAGTGCTACTTGTACTGTTTTATAATGAGTTTATGCGAGTATTCAGTTTGCCATAATTTTGATTGCTTGGAAACGGAAATTGATTTTGGCGAACATGAACATGCCCCGGTAATGGAGCAGAATTTGATTAATTAACTAATCAATTTTTGGGGCGGCAGCCAAACACTAATAAAACATCGAATTAATAATGAATGCCATGCGTAGCGCTTGTCTCGAAGTGTTTATGCAGTCCTTTTTGAGACAATATAACATCAGGCAGTAAAAATCCTAGTCGGTTGGATTTCATATTTTTATGAATCTCATGAATAACTTTCTGCTCATCTTTTATTCCACTCTTCAATTAAATCCAAGCTTTATTGTTTTTTTTTTTCTTATCTCAATCCCAACTTAAGATTTCGGTAGTTAAAGTTTCGATAAGAACCCAAGCACATCTTGTTCCAATAGAGACTGCATTTAAAGCGAGCATATATGTATTTATTTACTTAAATATAGTATGGTTATGTGTTATATCGTTTATCGTATTAAAAATTAATGAAGACCAAGCACTTGAAATTGTTCAATCCACAGTTCAATAGACTATTGCGTGCAAATCTGATTAATATAAAAACGGAATGTCTGTTCTTAGCACGATTTCCCTTCTTCTCAATTCTGTTTTGTTCATTTTTATTCTGCCATAAGCGAATGTTTGTGATAAGAGCGTGAGAGAAAACAATATACTCATAAGTACTATAAACTATAAGTTAAATAAAATGTTTTTAAGACTTGCCAAATTGACAATAAAAAATATACAGTAAAAGAAAACAATAAACCAAGCGTTCTTTGACTGTTCGAAGACTGAATACACTCTTTTATTATATACAACCTATTTCAGCTTTGCAATTGATATTTTTGATGAGCTATACAAAAACTTCTGCTGAAGAATCTTTACTGGGAGCACTTTAAAATGGTCTGGCCCTGATTTCAAAACAGATTCAGCACTGAGGGGAATAGTAGAGACACATAAATCAGCATTGTCGGATGTGACTTTGTAATTCTAAACTATCTATCTGGCATTCAAGTGTCGCGAAATCTATCGCGAAACTAAAGCTATAATACCTTTAATAGTAAGAGTATCAAAACACAAACAACTTGATTCGATTCATTAAAAAATACTTAAGTATATGACACAAAGCAGGTCGAATTGCTTCTCAAAAATTAAAAATGTATAAAAAATCAAACATTGTTATGGTATTATTACGGAATGTAATCGTTAAAAATAAACTGGTGATTGCGCCCTCGCTTACCTCAGCTGTGTACTTTTGAATATTCCTCTGGCTTTTATCGGGCCACTAGCGCCGCATAGTTTCGGGCAGGATTTGGACTGTGCCGCTTCCGCTTGTTGACTGCTGACAATTGGGCACACACAGACAGAAATACAAAACTGCTCCACGGATACAGTTGACAATGCCTGTGGCAGTTATCGTGCCTTCACTTCACTTCAATACACTGAGCCTGCTCTTTTTTTCAATTTTTGTTGTTGTATTATTATTGTATGGATTTTGCTGGAGGCTCACACTTCATAGCTAATAGAGGCAATAGACACGGGAAACTATTCAGGCGGGCATTTTGCTGCAGGAGAATAAAAGCGATTGCGGCTATGGATGTTTCATATGCGACGTTTAGGCACAATGGCCAAAAGGCCCGCTCTTTATTGTCGGCCAATCACAAGCGAATCGATGACAACGCGACACTTTAAGCTGCACATAAATGACTAACACTCACACACACACACACACACGCAGAGATGGGTTGGCAGACAGACAGAAAGACGAACAGACGGACACACAGACATTTAAACTGGACAGTAAAGAAAGAACGCAAAAATAAAACTGTCAATATTTGCGGATAGTTCACAACAATCGTAGGCCAGTAACAGGGCCGGTCCTTGACTACATTGAGCTTGAAGCCTCACTGATTGTGAGCAGAGGGCACTGGGGGGGTGAGCATAAATGATGCATTTTATTGGCAACATGCAACTGACAAAGGCATTCAGCACATCCCCTTCCCTCTTAACCCATTCACAATGGCTTTGCATAAACAGCTAAGAAATAAATATGGAAATGTATAAATAAATGCACGCGTAAGATGCACAAAGGCAGACACAAAAAAACAAAAAAGTAAAATACAAAAGTAGAGTAGAGCGCGCGACAAGAGCCTTCATAAGCTCGAGCTCACGATAATCAGCGGCCGGCAAGTGCGGCAAAAGGCCGCACAAACCTACCACTTACACACACACACACACACACACACTGATTGTAAGGTGCATGACGTATACGCAACGAAAACGAAACTGCGTGTGCTTACAGTAACAAGAAGAGCAACAACAACCACAACCACAACTCAAAAACGCGCAGCACGTTTAAAAGTCGCTCGCATAAATTTCGCGTGTGCCAGGCTCGCGTCGCACTTGCTGAACGTCAAATAACAAACTGAGGCTGGCGCTTTGCTTCGAGACCAGCGAGACCGTCGAAAAGCCGACAAGCAGCGACGCCAACGCCAACGCCAACGTCAATGGCAGCGCCTGCACAGCAGCGACGCTGGCAGTGAATGTTTTTAAGCTTTCAGTTGCTGCTGCTGCTTTGCTTTTGAAGTCGACGCAGTTGCTGCTACTGTTGTGAACGGCTGCTCGTTGTCTCTTCGCGTCGTCGATGTCGCAGACGTTGAAGTTGACGGTGAAGCTAGCGCTTTTTTGTTGCCTTTTCCTGAAACAAAAGGCTGCCTGCAGTTTTGTTATTAAATTTCGGGCGGACAATTTCATTTTGTTTGTCATGTAATACACAACGTAATGTTATTATTTACGCTCTGCAAACCTGAATTGTCAGTTAGTTTGCAAAAAAATGGAGAAAATTATACTTTGTTTGTTGGTGGAAATACGTTCTAATAAGAATACGACAGCTTCAAAGAGTGATGAGAACTATGTTGCTGCCATAAATTTTCATAAAATACTACTAAGACAAACATTTATTTCACAAATATATATTATTATCCTATATTAGGTTTGTTGTTTGAATAAAGATACTGAAATGTTTGCCCATTGAATTATATTAAATAATTGGAGTATTTGAAATTGTTAACATTCATTTCATTTGAAATGTATTCTAGTGGCTGGAATAAACTTTATATATTAAATAAACACCCCTTAAATAAAGAAATAATAGCTACAAGAAATAGTTCAATTAGCCCATCAAACTATTAACAAATGTTAACAATTTCATTTCACCTTCAGTAAGACTTTGGCAAATCATTATGCTATTCTATATAAAACCATTCTCCCCACTTCTTGCCATTTCATGTCGCTATTTGAACAATTTAAGGTATTTGACTGTCTCTCTCTCTCCCTTCGTGCCAAGCCTTGGTCACGTTTAATTGTGGCAGGCGAACTATAAACACGTTTTTGTGTGCCTCATTTCAACTTCTCGAGGCAACATTTTTTGAACTCCTTTTGCTGACACTGTTCACAGGCGTGCGTTTGAAGTTGATGCTGCTTAGCTAAAAATAGCCAAGTGTGCCAGCCTGTCATCAACACGCAGACCCAGGCTCAGGCGTAGGCAAAACTTGCAACACTTTCGTTTAGAAAAGACATAACAAACAAACAAAAAACTTGAGAGGAAAAACAGTTTATTGTTGGTAAGCGTTAAACTTTGGCAACTGCCCCCCAAGTCTCACATGTGTTCATAGTTTAATTATTTATGCTCTAATAAAACTTTGCATAATTTTGCAAGTGGCAGCAGCAACTAAGGGTGGCGGCAACGCTTGATTTAAAATTCTATAAATAATTTGAAAAGCAGTTTATAGAAATGGCTAAAAAGCAAAAACCCATTTCGGGCTGACGATAAACTGCTGGGCCAAAAAGCCAAAGAAAATGCCGGAAAAACATTTGGCACATTCATACAAGTTGTTGAAAATGCCAATGGCACGGAGTGCGTGCGTGCAAGAGAGAGAGAGAGAGAGAGAGAGCGGTGGTGAGAGCGAGCAAGAGAGGGCGCTGCTTCTTTTTTTGTGTGTTGTCTGCCGGCAAATGTGCGCATCAGCGTTAACTGCGACGCAGGCAGCAGTGCAGCGTCGGCGTCAGCGTCAGCGCCGACGCTATCGTCGACGTTGGCGTTGGCGTAACAAGCAGCGTATGCGTAATATTGGCGGTCAATGCGTGGCGCCTGCCGGTGTGTCTGCATTTGGGTTTGTGACTGCGTGTGTGTGTGTGTGTGTTATCAGAATGGCATTGCGGACAAACTGCATTGTGCGTTATAATTTAAAGAGCGCGGCTTTTATCGTGCACATTTTGCTGTTGCTATTGCTATTGTTGTTGTTTTTTCTGCTGCATGTCGATGCAACGATGCGTTTGTTGGCTTTGGACCAGCCGGCCGGCCAGTTTGTTTGCCGTCTACAAAGGCCTGCACATGGCAATTGTTTATTCAAGCAGCGTCAGCACAAACGGCCGACCAAACGGTCCAGAGACCCCCGCCCACGGACGCACCGCCCCGCGCCACAATCCAGAAACGTCTGTGACTGCAGCTGCATGCCTGCATGCGCATTCATCTGACTGGCTGCTTGTCTGTGATTTTGTTGTTGCTTTTTCTCTACGCGCTATTGCCATCCAGAGCTGAGCCCCCCTAGCAGTTATTTTATCACAAATAGTGAGCAAAAATGAATAACTAAAAAGTGGCGGATCACATCTTGAAGTTAAATTCAAAAGTAGGTGATCAGTTATCGAGGCTTATGTTTGTCCCGACACCAGACACAGCTTAGACCTTTCCATAGCAAAAGGATTTTTTGTATGAAACGATCATTTACACTTCCTTTGTAGCTCTAAATGATTTCTGCTTTCAATGATCCAATGATTCGATATAGCAACTATTTATTTATAAAAAATAGGAATGTAATAAATAATATTGTTCAGAAAAGGTTTAAGATATTTGTTACAATTTTGAAATCATTCCAAGAAGAAATTCTCTTAATACTTGTACTTATAAGGAATTATCTATGATAAAATTCTTCATTTAGAAACGATCAATAAAAAATAATGTATGCCATATGTACGAATAACAATACACTATAATTTCTTTTATATACACACTTTGTAGTAACCAATAATGAACGAATAAATAACAATAAAAGGGACTATCATTTTCATAAAACAGGATAGAAATGAATATGTTCCATTTTTACAGGATTGACGGTGATTCCCTCTGATTTTTGAGGATTTATCTTCCACAATACCCCAAAAACTAAGTTGCTATATATAGTCAGCTGCCTTTAGAAATTGTACGATAAATTCCATAAAAATAAAAATAACATTTAAAAATTAAAAGAAATAGTTGTATCAACAAAGTAAACAGATTTTTCATAATTGCTAGTCTCTATTTACCTGAAAAAGATGAACTGCTAGATTGATTTGGGTTAAAGGAGCTGCCTAGAAAGCATATAATACATATATACGTATATGGAGAATACTTAAAAATGCACTGCTTTTGCTGACTCTGTTACGATTCAGGAATATTCATTGCACGTCATAGTTGCGTCGCTGATTGAAAGTTGATGCCACAAATGTCACGATATTGCTCATCTCTGTTGTTGTAATTGCTGTTGCTGTTGCTGTTATTGTTGCTGTTGTTGTTGTAGTTGTTGCCGGCGCATCGTGACCAGACCGACCCATGCGTTTTAGTCGATTTCGATGTCTGAGCAGCTTGTAGCAGCATTGTAGTCGATGTTGTCATTCATGCTGTTACTATTGTTGCTGTTGTTTCTGCTGTTGTCGAGCTTAAACGGCTTTTAGCGCCACTGAATCACCCGATTTGTAATCTCTTTAATGGCCGTTCATCTATTGTACTCTCATCCCTCCCCCCTTCCCCTCGAAAGGACTGCCAACGAACGCCACATTACGCATACGCCATGTGTGCGTGTGTGTGTTGAAATTTGCATAATATGGCGACAACATAGTCAGCCACATTTTTGACACGCTTCGCACTAAATGCAACGCTCGAGAAAACCAACTTGCACCTGTTGCTTAGCAACAAATTAGAAATAAATAGTTTACGAACAGACGCGGCGCTGGAGATTTGAGAAAAGTCAAAAAACGAGAAAGAAGCACATAAAAATTTCAAGTTTTGCGCGTACTTTAAACAGAACATTTATTAAAAACACAGACAAACTTGTTCCGTTGCGGCCTGTTGTTGCCTTTTTGGCACTTAGCATTGAAATGCCTTCGAGTGATTTGCATAAAGCAACGGGTAGAAACAATAACAGAGCTCCGCTCCGCAGCCGGCTGCCTTAAGCTTAAGCTAAAATAATAATAAATAAAGCAAGACAGTGCAACTTTAAAGCTAGGCCTTTTTGCATTTTCAATTAACAATTTACAATTTACGTTGCCGTTCAACAATGAAAAATGGATGGCACATAAACGCCAGCAACCAATGCTAGCAACAAACACAACAAAACACGTATCTTTCGCAGTCTGTAAATAAAATACAATGAAAATCTATAGCACATGGACGATGCATTTGGAACAACTTAATTGTTTGGTGCGCATATCTAATGGTTGTAGAAATTTACAAAAACTTTTCACATGTTTTCTTGGTAAGCGACAGAATAGAGCTGGTCGATGCTATGCAAAGATAAAAAAAAAGAAGAAACTTCGCAAGTAAATGCTCAGGAAAAATAAATTCGGATAATTTTCTTGGCCACATTTAATAAGTATTATTTGAAATATTGCTATAAATACTTGTACATATCAATAAAACCAAACAAAAAGTTGTGTGGCGAATTGAATTGGTTCAGATATGAAGATGCACTAAATTTAGCTTGTAAAGTAAATCACCCATTGTATTTGGTGATTAAATTGAAAGGTGACTCTCTTTTTAAAATGCAGTTCATTGATTTTCGTAAATGTTTGGTTGCAACTTCCAAAAAATATAACATAAAAGTTGTCTTTTGACCCATCGTTTCGACGGCTTTTAAAGGTTTTCAGCCATTTGATTTCCTTTATATTGATATATAGTATATGTAGTTGGGAACCATATCTGAAAACCCTCCACAAAACAAGTTCACACAACAATTTTAAAGCAGGTAAATGGTAGTAGAGAGTTGGGCAAAACAATACCGATTCATCTCCCATTCATCATAGCTACTAACCAATAGAAGCGCATAGACAATGTGTTTTTATATTTTTAACAGAGAACACATTAAAGTTAAAGCACGAATAACTAATGTATCATAAAGATAAAACTTTAAATCATTTATCTATGCGAATTATCTCAACACCTTCATTTGTTGCTTGAACAACCCAAGAATAATAACATGTTTAAAATTTTACGACCGCCCAAAAATATTCATTATCCAGTCAGCTTGCTTTCTAGTATAGCGACGCCCATTAAACCCCCATAAGATTTCAAATAGGTATATTGGTATGTTAATGGGGAACACTCTCATCTGATACTGATCGAGAAATGAAACCACACGCAAACATTCCCAGCCAGTACTGTAAAATGCAAATAAATATAAACGAGTATTTAACACTCAACTGACTGACTGCCTTGGTTTGCTTCATTTATGGGCTTTGTTCATACTTCTGGCATTCAACGTAACTAAATAAGGCAATAATTTGCATGTGAATAAAACAACACAATGAATCAAATACTGACTTAATGTTTATTTAATCAAAGCACATAAAGTTTATCAAACATGTCGCTGCAATCGCTTAGATCTATTTTTTCACTTCATTTTATAAAAGTATACATGTTGATATTGATTAACAAAGACGCTTAAGCGATGTTTCAATTTAAGGAAAGAAAAGAGATACTTTGACGTATTCGTGAAAACTCGGACCAACATGTTCTACAAAAGCAAACCTATGAACAAGAAGGAAACTCGTTTTTTTAATAACGTCCTAAAAGTACAACTGTAAATGTTTAATGTACGTCGTTTTATACCCTGTACCCAATGGGTAAAAGGGTATAACTACCCGCTCGACTCTAGTATTCGATTCTTGTTCAGTAACTATTTTCTTTATTTATTAAACAATGTAAAACTTAAACTTACTTGGAGCTAACGAGGCGCGCTTGCAATGTAACTACTCCGCATTTAATACTTGTGTACATAACAGTGACAAATAACAAATTTGTCCTTTAAAGATTGAATTACATATGCATACTAATATGCGTAAACACGTCTATACAAATGCTACTACATAATTCAATCAATCGATGCACATGTATAAAATGTGTACAATTGTTTGGAATAAGATAGCCAGTACCTGCCTTTTTTTGATCAGGAGAACATATAGAATAACTGTGGCTTGGTACTGGTTCGCCGAATTCAAAAGGTTCTTATACAGTAATTGCAATCTGTATCTGTATCGGTATTACTTATTATTCTGTAAAAATACATAAACGATCTGTACAAAAAATTACACCTAATATTTTAAAAATGATTAAGCACATAAAGTGGTGTTTTCAAGCAAACAAACTGAAACTTTTAGTGGCTCAGCATCAGGAACGCGGCGGGTTGCTTTTTAATAAAAGAGTTTTTCAAAATAAACGCCATCGTGTAAAGAGTTGCCCATTATAAAATGTGGTGGTTGGCAACGCGAATAAAGGGAAATTTGGCTCCATCTATCAACTTTTCGAGTAATACTGGGCACAGGTTGCAAAATATTGACCACTAGATGTCGTACTAGTACTGTTATACTGTCATTCAGAATGGAAATCGTATAGTCAATAATATTGCATTCACGTATAAATATATGTACATATCATCAATATTGTATGGAATTAAAAGCAAACTGCTAAATTCAGGAACGATCAGCCAAATGTAGGTATTTTATATGCAATCTTTAAATTTTCGGAGTGTTTTAGAGACATATATTTTACAACTGCTACTACTTGAAATCAGTATAAGTGTGAACAAAACAGTAAGCACAATGCTACCATACAGAGAATATTAAGTGTAGCACTGTTTTGAAGCTTGTAACAGGTCTGGCATCGCCAATGTAGTGACAGCTGTTAAATGCGCTGCACTTTTTTGTTTATTTTCTTTGTCCTGGGACTACCCTGATTCTTGGCCACTTCCACGATGAGCTCCTGGCGTGAGAGCCTTAACAGCATTCCGGGAACCGTGGCCGCATTTGTGAATGAGAGCGCAACCACAGCCACAAACTATCTGCACCTGCGGCCAGGCACGCCCACACCAACAACATCTGAAGAAAGCGGACCGCAACATAGTGACTACAAAGCCCTGCCCATACCTGCATCTCTGGTTAAGGAGCAGTGGCGTTTGATCTTCACCTCGGACGCCAACGTACAGGACTTACAGGCGGCTATTGCCCATTGCCGTGACTTGGTGCTGCTCTCGGACGAATGTAGCGAAGAGCGCCGCTGGCTGGTTCGTCACCTGGTTGACTTGCGCTACTCGCTGCAGGAGCTAGAGGAGGCACAGGCCTCTAGCGATGGGCTGGTCCTGGTGAATGCTATTAAATCCGTGGTGGGCCATCACTTTGTGCCGTTCCATGTGCACGCACGCCAGCGTCTGGCCAAGCGCTACTGCGACCACTGTACCGGCATCATTTGGAGCGTTGTGCAGGCCTCCTACACGTGCAGCGACTGCGGTTATCTGGTGCACCAAAAGTGCATTGATAGTGTGGTGCGGGTGTGTGCGCACGTTCTCGTCTCAGAACGAAAGTATCCCATCGCAGAGATCTGTCCAGAAATCGGACTTGCCGCCCAGCACTATAAGTGCGCCGAGTGTGCCACACTGCTGAATTTTAGTAAGTCCGTAATAGTCCCTGTAATTCAAATGATGCCGAAAATATCAGCTTCAATCTCTGCAGCATCAGTCCAGGCTGAGGCAATACCTTAATACAATGGCTATCGAATAATGCACACTAAATTCGGGATATTTCAATGATTATCTTATGTTTTGTCCTTCACCTTTACAGAGAACTCGTGGATTGAACCACGTCTATGCGACTACAGTGGCCTGTACTACTGTCCATCGTGCCATTGGAACGACTTTTCCATTGTGCCGGCACGCATTGTTCACAACTGGGATTTCGGGGCTCGGAGAGTGTCGCGCACAGCACTGCAAGAAATTAAATTGTTCCTCGATATGCCGCTGATCAAACTAGAGGACGAGAATCCCAAACTGTTCGTATTCGTAGAGAAGTTGTGCGCGGTGAAGAAACTTCGCCAGAATCTGGAACACATGCGTCACTATTTGACTGCATGCAAGCAGGCCACTGATGAGAAACTCATCGATGCTCAACTTGGTGGACGTCGCCATCTGGTACAGTCCAAAGAGTTCTATGCTCTGAGCGATCTGATGCAGGTGGACTCAGGCACTCTGGCTGATTTTCTGCAAGCAATCTTCAATGCGTTCGACCGTCACATTCGCAGTTGCGTCCTGTGCGTGGCCAAGGCCTACATCTGTGAAATTTGTGGCAACAACGAAGTGATCTTTCCCTTTGACGATGGCTGCATTAAGTGCGATCAGTGCAACTCCATTTGCCACCGCGTTTGCATGACCCGCAAGAACATGATATGTCCAAAGTGTGTGCGAATCCAGGAGCGTCGTTTGCAGGTGGAACGTGCGCCCAGTAAAAACGAGAAATACAACGAGGATGGGGATGAGGCTGATGATGCACAGGAGGCGTAACGTTCAACGTTCTAATGTCTATGTTTACATATTTTTGTTTTTAATCTGTTTTTATGTCTGTATGTACATAATGTATAAAGGAGATAGTAACTACTTAACAGTAGCCCTAACATTTACTCTTGCTGTGCCTTCTTGCCATACTTCTGAGTCTTGTGGAATTTGCGCGGATTAATGCCATAGGCTTTAAGGCGCTCATCGGTTATGCCATTGGGAGTGCTCGTTTTGTTCTTCGCCTTAAAATTGTGCGTTTTGCGGGGGCCAACGTTTTTCTTCTTTTTCGACGCATCCGTATTGTGATTGCGTGACTTCATGAAGGGTTTGCCAGCCGCTCCAGAATGCAGTCCTTTGTTTTTGTTAAAGGGTTTGGCATTTGTCGTCGTCCCCACCCGCTGTGGCTTCTTGAAAGGATTATGTTTGGGCTCTGGATTATTAGATTGTTTTGTGACAGTTGGAACTTCTCCATTTGTTTGCTGCTCTGCTTTAACGGCCTTACTGTCAATAGATTCTTGTTCCTTGTTTTTGTTGAAGGGTGTGGCGTTTGTTGTTGGCTTGCCGTGTTGTGTCGTTACCGCCTGCTCTCTTTTCTTAAAAGGATTAGACTTGTCTGATTTGCTAGCATTTTTTGATTTATCCGTGGCAGTTGGACCATCTTGATTTGGTTGCAGCTGTGTATTTTTTCCCCCGACACGAGATCCCTGTCCTTTGTTTTTGTTGTTGAGTTTGGCATTTACCGTTGGCTTACCATGTTGTATCGTGGCCGCCTGCTGCGTCTTCTTAAAAGGATTGAGCTTCACGTCTGATTTGTTAGCATTCTTGGGCGTCTTTGTGGCAGTTGGAGCAGGAGCAGCAGTTGTTGGATCTGCGTCTCCGTTGGTTTGCTGCTCCTCATTGGGTGCTTGCCTTTTCTTTTTGGCAGCAGGCTCACCTATATCTTCCTTATTTTCATTTGAAGCTTCTGCCTGCTGAGTGATAGCTTCAGCCACTGTGGCAGAAGCAGCCGCTGCTGCTTTGCGCCTTAAGCGCTTCTTCTTCGACTTGGACATGAGCTCTGTCGAGGGCTGAATGGGTGCGGCTGCAGCAGAAGAGGATTGATCGATTCCAGCAGTTGATGTGTCCACGGTGTTCTTTTCGGGCTGTTCCTCATCATCGGAACTGCAGACAGTCGGACAACAAATATAAACATGAATGATTTACATTATTTATAATTTTTAACACCCACCCTTCGCCATACAAGCTCTTGAAGATTTTGCGCTTGAGCTCCTCGTTCTTGGCCTTCATCTTGTACATACGTTGCTCCTTTTTCTCCACATGTTCGGGCCGAGTTTGCACCGCCTTCTTCAGGCTGGCCCATTGGTTAAGTTCCTTGTTCTTAGCTAGCAGGATCTGTTAGTAAGATGGGTCATACAAACAGTCGACTTGAAAGTCTTTCAACCTGACTCACCTCCTCGATCGTAAGACCAAAATCGTTTGGCGTTGTTTCCACATATTTAAAGCGGCACGGTTGATCACCCACAATGTCCTCATAGTCCAGTTGGTAGTACTCGTCTATGTACTCACCATAAGTCTTCTCATCGTCAGGATTGAAGGCGGGCTTCTCAGCTTGTATCATCTCCATGAATCGATTGCGTCGACCTTTACGTCCCTTACGACTTCGGGTGTTCTCAATAAGCTCTTGCTGTAGTTGCTGTTTAGCTGCTGTCGGATCATAGTCACAGTCCATGTTGAATTCATCGTCTTCGCAGTGCAAATCATCATCGCCGCCAGCTTCATAATTCTGATGTGGATCATAGTTATCCCAGTCTTCTATGGCCAGCTCTTCGATATCTGAGGGACACTCGGGTTTCTCCTCGCCTTCGTCTACATTGTAATACTCCTCATTGAATATCTCCTGCATCCGTCGATCATGTGCCGCCGGATCAAAGTCCTCCTCCAGTTCATCGTCTTTAAAACCCAATTCATCGTTACCCGTAACTGCTTTGAGTTTACGTATCTTCTCCTCAATCTCCTTTCGCTTCATGTCCTTGATAATTTCGAGCTCCTTCATTTTTTGCTTTTTCTCCTGCTCTTTTCGTTGCTTCAGCTCCTTACGTTTGTCCTTGCGCTTGTCATCTGTACGCCTCACAGATTGTTCAATGGTTCGTGGGTAGCGCTTTATAAAATCGGCATCTGGTTCCTCGAAGCGAAAGTTATACTTCTGCTCAAACTCTGCCTGCTTCTCCAGCTCCTGCTCGTCTTCGGACAACGGCGCATTGTCGCCCACGATCTCATCGTAGGTGGGAATCTCTGAAACATCAGTGTTTGCATAGCCCTTACTCAGAATATAGTCGCGTAGAAAGCTCTCGCCCTGCGTCAGCTTGCTGCTGCTCCAGTACTGTCTAAGTGGTGCCAATTCCTCCTTAGCACTTTGCTCAATTTCCTCCTGTTTGCCAGCCAACCACTTGGCATAGTCCGCCTCCTCGGCATCAGTCTGCGCTTTAGTTTTCTCACGTTTTTTGAATATCCCACCGAATTCTTCATCTTCACTCTCATCGTCTTTGTTCATCACCTTTGTAAACTCTGCCCTTAAGCGGCGTTCCTCCTCTACTGCAGTAGGTGAGTCCGCGCGTTCTTGCACCGGCTGATCCTCATCCTCAGAACTTTCAAACTTTCCATTATGTTCCAATATCACTTTACGTTCGTAGTCCTTCAAGGTAACAGGCTTGGTCTTGGGAGCTTTTTTCTTCTTCGATTCCCTCTCGCCGTCAGCAATACCATCATCTTCGTCACTGTCATCGCCTACGCCATTAAAGAAACGTGTCTCTTTGTCGTAGATTTTCGGATCTTTGCTCTTTAGCGACGCCAGCGTTTTAAAAAACTCCTGATCGAATTTGACGTCCACTGCCTCATCCTCGTCGGACGACTCACTGTCGCTGTCCAACTCCGACTCTGAGACATCAAGCCCGCGATCTTTATCTGCAAATACAACAAAAACTAGTGAGTACTGCTGCATTATTGGCGCATTAGTGGAGATTTACATTTTTTGAGCAGCTCCTTCTTGCGAAGCACATTGTACGATTTTGCATAGTTCTCGTTGGTAGTAAGCTGCAGGTCCTCGGCATCGTCATCAGAGCCATCGAATAGATTTTTACTCATAATTAAACTATGTTTACAGCTTCAATGCGTCGCACGTGTTCTGGGTTGCCTCAATTGAACTGATTGGTTCACGTAGTCAGCTGTGTGGTTCGCTGTTCGATAGCTGCGAATCGAAAAGTACAAAAGTGCCATCACTACTACATTGTGTTTATTAATTCTTAAGGATTTGATAATTACTTTGTAGTCAATTGCAGCTTTCCAAAGACATGGCCGATGCAGAGGAGGCACAGTCTGGCAGCACTAGCCTCACGCCCACCGATAAAGACGCCTCAAAGAGTGAGCCTCATTATAACTGTAGTTGCCAACGATTAATCACCTGTTTTTGTTTTGCTTATAGTTTGCATTCTACTTAACGCCACGGGAAATGTACCCATCATAAAGAAAAGAACTTGGACTGTGGATCCCAACAAGACCGTTAGTTGGATACAAAAGTTCATACATAAGTATTTGAAGCTTGACGCCAGCGAACAAATTGTAAGCCCCCACCTTATCCAAATGAATTTCAAATACATAATTCGTCTTTTTCAGTTTCTTTACGTTAATCAAACGTTTGCACCTGCGCCAGACCAGATAATAAAGAACCTGTATGATTGCCATGGCACCAACGGAAAACTAGTGCTGTACTATTGTAAAAACCAGGCGTGGGGCTAAATCGATACTTAAGTTTTAGTATTTATTTTGTCTACAGTAATTTATTAATTAAAGTGTATGTACGCGCAGTAACTTATATTTCACGCTTTATTTCCCAGATTAGGGCTAACAGTGCATACTTTTTCTAAATCTGAAAACAATGCCCTGAAGGCGGCGATCCTTTACAATTGGGAATAAATTAATCACCATGCAGTGCCTCCAACTCATCGGCAGCCTCTTTGGATATTCTATGATACTTGGCCATTATTGGTCGGTAATAGTATGCTTGGTAGTCGTTACGCTCGGACATTTTACGGCGAATCTCCTCCTCGAGTTTTCTACAAAGACAGATAGTTTAGCCGAACTGCTTGCGCGACGTGTATTTCCCTGCTCACCGTATTTGCGCCTTCTCGTTTTCCTCATACATAAAGTGCAAGGCCTTCTCGTAATCCTGCTGCTGCGAACTAAACATATAACGGGCAATAAACCGAGAAATCGGGTGCTGTTGATAAAAATCAATTGATTGGTTTTAAGATATTCATTGCCACATTTAAGCTATTACGTCGCACCCTTTCATATTCCCAATGCTTCGGCTCATAGCCCTCCGGTATCTCTGCAAGCTGCGCGGGTCCAACGAATATATTTGTGAGTACCACCAGCGCTGTAATGGGAATTACGCCCAGCATTACGTAAAAGTGCATCAAATCCTTAAATTTATCCCACTGAAAGCGTGAGGGTTTGATCGTCATGTGGTGATGTCCATGATCGCCCCCCATCCGGCGCAGTTGTTGCTGTAAGGCTGCAGTTGATTGAGAGATCAGTTAGTCTGTTGCGTAATGTGCACAGTGTTTACTTGCACCAAGTAGGCGCACTTACCATTGCGACAGGCAGGTTGTTGTAGCACAGTGCGGTACTTGACGAATTGTGCCGCCGGAGACAACAAGCGGCTCCAACCAACCATTTTATCGCAGTAAATTGAACAAAATATATGCTACTTCGTGCTCTAAACGGTGGTGCAGAAAGCTGTCAAAATACAGGGCTGATAGTACACACAGTGCTGCCACTGTGTTAATCTGGCATTTTTGGCATTGTTTCTGGTGATGCCAATATGCACTGAAACCAGAAAGCAGTGCTACCACCTCACCCGGGCATATATATTGCAAATAGGAAGTATAAGAGGCGCAAAAAGCCAATAAAGTAGCGGAATTATTCATTTAAGAGGTAAATTTGTGATAATTTTTGTTTTAGTGAAACGTATTGATGTCCCACAACAATATGTCTATGGGTAATCATTTTCAAAAGTTAAAACTATCGCTATACTGGTAAAAAAAAATCAGCACCCTCTGCCCCGCCCGCTCGCATTCACATTGCTGATAAAAGCTCATTAGGAAAAAAGTAAATAATACTATATGCTGTGTGAAAACAAGTGCGCAGTTGACAAATAATATTGTACAAACGCGTTGTTAAGCAATTTGCTAAGTGCCTACAACTTCATTAGTGCGGAGCTCGTTTCTTTTGCATATTTAACTGGTACTGTGGGCGTAGCCTTTCGTTTCGTTGGTCCCTCGCCCACCCCCTCGGCAACGGCTTGCGTGCCTAAACTTGGCCTCGGCTGCCAAGCAGGCACCACTTTACCTTAAACTTTTGCTGCTCCGTAGAGAAGACAAAATACAAGTAACACTTTATTGACGTTCGGCGGAAATCAATCGCTGTTTGACGTAAAGCTATTGTACAGCACACACTCACATTTATACATAGTATTTATGTGCATATGGCTGTACATTCATAAAGATATGAATCAGCGACGGCGCGATAAGGGTTCTGTGACATTTGCTTAACTAGGATGTGACACAGCGAAATTTTCAATCTGTGGATACAATTGTTTTCCTAATTTGGCACACATGTGTATGAATGCACTTGGAATTACAATTACACTCAAGTTTTATAGTTATCGCTTGCATTGTAGTTAAAGCCAGTTATGGTGATATGTGCTAGCTATTTACTGACTTGCCTCTTCAAACAAATGTGACGTCACCGTTTGTTACAATTTTAAAGCAAGAAAAATATTTGTGAATGTACTGTTTAACCAAATATTAAAAGAATCATTGTACGGCACCGGAGTATATCTAAGGAGGAATGAACTATTCGATTTTAAAGAGTATAATACTTATCTTTAGACACAAACCATTCATTCTGATACGTCCTTATGGTCATACATATTAAAATGCACAAATTTGTTCATGGCTTTATCTATGATACATATTTTATGATATTTTTCTTAAATGGAAACAGGTATTTTTTTCATGTAAAGGTTTCTAAAGGTACTCTTAAAAAATAAAGATTGTGACTGATTATAAACATGATATCATTTATTAGCTACAGTCTGTTCCATTCGAAACTTTTTGCTTCCTAAGATATTCTTCCCAACTCTGTGGATATTCTAATTATCTAACTCTTTTTTTTTTAAATTTTTTTAAAGCCAATTTGCACAAAAATATATACCGCATACTTTTGCAATAACTCAACGCACAACTCAGCGCCAGGGCAATGGACGCCAATTCACGTTTCCCAGCGCGATTGCCAGGTAAGCCCGCAAACTCTATCATTAAATTGTTATCATTTGTACTTTAAAATGTATTTGTATTGTTGCCGCTTAGCATTTGCTCCAAAAATATAACAAAATGAAAAGAAAAATATGAAATAAACCCAAACTATGCCTTTTAATAGACGTTTGCGACGTTCTCGTTTGCATAGATAATCGTTGTTTATAGTTGTTTAAACCTCGCTAACCGTAACAGTAATTACTACTAATTGTATGCCTTCTGCCTTGCTTTTTACTATGCTAACCGTCCCTCAGCTAGTTGTTTGGTTTCGTTTTTTAATGATATCGAGTTGTGTGCTACTAACCCAAATTCCAAATGTTAGAACTGGGCCTCAAAAGCCAACCAACCAACCCACTTGAACTGTATTGTACATACTATACTAAATGAATTTATGCTCTATTGTATTGTTTGTCGTAACGTTTTGTATGTGTTGTGCGCTTTAGCTCTTTCTTCTATCTCGACTTTATCCATATAATTCCTTATAAAATTTACAATACGATTACAAAAGCGTTTAAAACCGAAACTCATTAAATATTTCTGATTCATATTTATTCACTTACTCAAAATCCGAACTAACTTGTTGCCTAAGGCCGTCAAAATACTTAAGTGAAAAGAATTACTTGTAAGATTACGTTTTTGAGATTTCCACTTCTCCAAAGAAAACCTAAGAAATTAATGAACGCTTTTCTCACCACACACATTCGCATGCACAACAACTACTACTTCAAAAGGGCCCGCCGTCAATCCAATTGTTGAAAATTCAGACGAGCCGCAACCCAGTCTATCGGATCTTCATGATTTTGAGCCCAAGCTGGAGTTTGATGATACCGAGTTACAGACAACAGTAAATCAGGGTAAGACAAAGAAAGCTGCATAGATTAATGGTTTAATATGCGATTGAACTATCTTAGAAGATGTTATGCTCGACGGTTTCGTTTTAACCGATGGTAAGTCAACGAGAGTTTTGTATTTGCATACATGCGTTACTTAAAATATACATTCCTGACTTCGCACAGATCCCGAATTAGAGACAGAAGAAGTTGTAAATCCCCTAGAGGACGATTTTGAGGATCAGCTGAGAGAACAATCGGAAATATTTCAAGCGCCTCGAAACAAATGTGATTTCCTTGGCACTGATAAGCAGGGTCGTCACATTTTCGGTATATACGCCTCACGCTTCCCCGAAAGGTCTCAGCTGGAGGGGTTTGTGCGGTAAGGCAAATGAGATTTCACATAAAAAAACACGGGACTGAATTTTTTATATTCCCATAGCGACATCATCAAAGAGATTGAACCCTTCGTGGAGAACGACTATATCCTCGTCTATTTCCATCAGGGTCTTAAGGAGGACAACAAGCCATCGGCCCAATTTCTTTGGAACTCATACAAGGAGCTTGATCGCAATTTTCGCAAGAATTTAAAAACACTGTATGTGGTGCATCCGACGTGGTTTATACGTGTCATCTGGAACTTCTTCAGCCCCTTCATCAGCGACAAGTTTCGCAAAAAGCTAGTCTATATCTCGTGTCTTGATGAGCTGCGTCAGGCACTGGGCCTGAGTAAATTGAAACTGCCCGACAACATTTGCGACTTCGACAACAAGCTGAGCTCCAGTCGCAAACATTCCACATCATCACCAAATGCGGCATATTCCACATCGACCAGCACTAGTGGCGCACAAAGACAGCAGCAGAGGATGTCGCCTACGACACAATTTGGCGTGACGTTAAAGTTCATTGTGATGAACAGTCCTTGCCTTAATTCGATTCCGCCGATCGTGCGCAAGTGCGTCGACTCGCTCTCAATCACAGGCATGATCGATACTGAGGGCATATTCCGGCGATCCGGCAATCATGCAGAGATTATGGCGCTAAAGGAGCGCGTCAATCGTGGCGAGGATGTGGACCTTAAGAATGTGAATGTGCATGTCATTGCCGGTCTGCTGAAGAGTTTCCTGCGCGATCTCTCTGAACCGTTGCTGACATTCGAACTTTACGATGAGGTTACCAAGTTCCTCGAGTGGCGCACCGAGGAGGAACGCTCCCGGAACGTCACCCAATTGATACGCGAAAAACTGCCCGAAGAGAATTACGAGCTTTTCAAGTACATTGTCGAGTTTCTGGTGCGTGTGATGGAGTGCGAGGATCTAAACAAAATGACCTCTTCGAATCTGGCGATTGTCTTCGGGCCGAACTTCTTGTGGTCTGGCCGTAACAACACATCGCTGGAGGAGATCGGACCCATCAACGCCTTTGTTGACTTTGTGCTACAGCATCACCGAGAGATCTACCTGATCGATATCAACCAACGCACAGTGAACGTCGATTAGCGATTAGCGTAGCAATCGTTGCGATGACCACACCACTAAGTCCGTATTTTGTAAATTGTTTCATCTTACAATTAATGTTAGTTCTACAAATGTAGGTATTTAATGCGCGATTGCGATCGCGTTATAGTAGAGAATGCGCCTGCGTTGTTACGTGTATAAAGTGTTTTTAATCCTAAGTTGCATTTTTAAATTGTCTGTCTAAGTGTAAGCTGCTTGTACTAAGTTTTCTTTGCCTGTTCTGCTTTCCTTTTATATAATTGATAGCTAACTCAATTTCTAAGTCCCTTGCTCCCTCTTAACTTCTAACTAATTTAATTGATTAAAAGAAAAGTATGTTAATTTACCAAAGAGATTTGCTTGTGTTTTACATTAAACAAATACAAAAACAAGAAACAGGATACGTCGAACTGGATTATGATAAAATGTCAAACGCACATTCCAAATTGCAAACGCTGCCTCCAAACATTTGGCAGACATATGTATTGGAATTGTAGAAAACTCACATTAATGTATAATGATTAATTTAAAATTGTAGACTATTGAATTTCCTTATAGAGATACATACAAATTTTATATAACAGCGGTATTGTTAAAATAAATATTAAAGTGAAATGTTTAAAAATATGAGGTCCCGACTATTTCCTTGAGTGAATTAGAATTTAGAGCATTTGGGTGACCTTTTGCTGCACCTTCCTTTGGGCGCACAGTTCATTTATTGTTCTTAAAGCAAAAGAATCTAGTTTGGAATACATATAAAATAGAACCATAAACATACTTAGTGGTCTTAAATATTGATGTTCTTCAGCTTGCGGTTCAGGTCGTTGAATTTCATTATCTTACGCACAAAGAAGTCACCATAACGATGCGAGACCTTGGTATCGGCTATATGGATCATGTCATCGTCAATGTAGAAGTCGAGCTGCAAAAACAAACAAATTTTGGACACATCTAATGCATGACTTTAAATAACAAAACTTACCTCCGAACCAGACTTGAAGGTGCCCTCCAGCCCGCTAGGGCCTTTGCTCCAAACCAAATTGCGCATCTTGTGTTTGAAGCAAAGCAAACGTATCAGCAGCTTGGACACGTCATCCTCGCTAGCATTGGGATCGATGAAGGAGGCCAGTTTGGCTAGCGGCAATGTTGTGTATAGCTTCAAATATGAACGAGTAGTTGGCAAATCCTTCTGTTGACGCACCTCGTCCATAAACACCACCAACTGATGCTCCATGGGGTCTTTAACATAGTCCTCCATGGGCGCATCGGCAGCAGGTGGACAAGGGCTGACAAAACGTGGGCATGCGAATATAAAGAACGACTTGAATACGTCTAGGTCGCCACACTGCATCTTAAACATTGCATCGTGGTAGTTCTTCTCGCGCAGAACCTGCTGAATAGATTCATCGATGCACTGTGGATGCAAAACCAGACAAATTGCCAAGAGGTGGTACATCTGCTCTGCCTGCTTGTTAATCTGGTCGTTCTGATAAGATCGTGTGCTGTACAACTGTTTCGTGCGTTGAATGTATAACAGGATCTCTGAGAAAGTGCGAATGGCATCCGCATAACGACGCATCATCATGTAGGCGAAGCCCACATAATACGAGGTCGATATTTGGCAGGCGGGTATGTGCGAATAGGCCGATTTCTTGTGGATTTCAATAGGCTCTAACACCTTAATGGCCTGGTAGTAGTCACCGAGCAGCGAGTGCACGCGCAACAGACCCACCAGTGAAAAATATCCCAACATCTTATAGAAGGAGAGCTTTCCAAAGTCCCCTGCAACTGTCTGCGGATCAACGCTTTGGGAAATGGCTTCCAGTTGTTTTTTAATGTTTGAAATGTCAACCAATGAGTGAAGTACGTTCAGAATGCAGAGAATGCTCCAAACATTGCTATGGTTAACGCACAGCTGCTGAATCTCGTCCTGCGACTTGTCAGTCAATCGGGCACTGCATTTAAAACTTATTTATAATTGTTTCTAGGTATATTGCTTCACTTACCGGTATTGCGCAAAATTCTGGAACTGGTAGACGAACTCATCGACAAGCTCCCACAACCAAATGTCGGGCAATTCCAGCATAACCGGATTTTGCGATGAAATAATCAGATTAAAAAAGTCGCAGTAATTGAAGAACGAGTTAATACGCTGCTCCAGTTTAGGACCTCCCGGTATGCGTGCATGGATGTGGCGATAGTACAGCTCCTTATACAGGATCAGAAACACCTTGTCATTGTCTACAATCGTGGCGACCTCCTGTTCCTCCGGCCAGGCAGACTTGTCGAAATGATGATCGCTGATCTGCGGGAATGTATTCTCATACATGTTTTGTATGTCATAGAGATTCCCCTCCTTGATGGCCTGGCAGAAGTTCATAAGGAAGTACTTCACGGTTTCCGGCATGCGGGCAAAATAGGTGCGCTCATACTCCATATCCAGCTGCGGGTCACCGGTGTGCGCGAAGTCATCGTAGTAATCCTAGAAATGTATTATTAATATTGGCATGAATATTGCTGACGGTGGCACAAAAGTTGGGTTATGTTGGCGGCAGGAGAAATAGATGTGTAAGTCACCACAATTGCGAGGCTCAGGGGCCAAATTCTCGTTAATTTCCGAAAAACACACTTACCGGGGTGCTAAATTCTTCGCCGCCGTACATTTTTGCTATTTATGAGAAATGGATTTGACACAAAAACAGAACAACTTTGCAAAAGCACGCCAAGACAATTTTCTGGCGATGCAGAAGAGAGTGCAAATGTGAATGGCAAATATTGTGATTAAATAAATCGTGCTGCCAGATCTCCACAAGGCAGACGGTATCTGCTAATGGACATATAAAAAGAAAACAATGTTTATGATCTGTCGATGTGGCATCGCAGTGCTTACTAAGTGGTAGCACCTGAGACACAAGCGATATGAACTTATCGGTTGAGTTGTGCATCTCTAAACCAAGAGCGAATCAGAAGAAATTTGGAGTCGCGAGCGTGAACGTCGTGCGTGTGTCATAGGAGTAGCGTTCATTAATTGTTTTTAAGTTAAACGCTATCAAAATTGGGTGTGAGTTCACGGAAGTGTCTTCAAGAAATAGAAACAGTTTAAATCCATTTACAATCCGGTGTCGATAGCGTCTTTTGGACAAAAACTAGTGAACGGTCGCCAACCTGGCAGGGGGGAAAAAAAGTTAACCAGACGGCAACGCAGGGTGTACCAATTTGCATTCCTGTTCAAAAACAAAAAGTTGTGCTTTTAAGTTGAAATATAAATGTGTGCTTAAGTCGTTTTGTTTATGAATTTTGAAGCCCACTAAATTCAAAATGAGGCTGCGAAGAGCGTCGACGACAACAATTTCAATTTGCAGCTGTATTCTTTTGCTTCTGGGCAGCAACAGCGTGGGAATCGTGCAAGCAGGTAAAATATCGCATTAAATGTAAAAACCCCGATTGAAATGTATTCTAAAAACAGCAATTGCAGTTGCATAAAAACATGAAAATATTGTAAGCCTAGATTTGGGCGTGTACTCCACGCTGAAGACTCGTCATTTTATTGCTACGTTTTCTTGTGTGCTTCGCTTTTAACTCGCTCTTTTGACACTTGTGTGATCGTCCGCACACTCACGCTCTCTTTTTCTCTCTCTCTCTCTGCGATCCAACCGTTGCTTACGAACGACACTGGCAAAACAAAACCGACTAACAACGCCTTTTTTATTGGAGCGGCCCTCAGAGTAGATCCGTGGAACACCGTAAATGAACTAATTGGGTTTTAGAAAACGCCAATTTGAATTTGCAGTCTCCTGTTGAGTTGCCCTTGACATAGGCACCCTGTTTGCAGGCCGGCATTTTCGCTGCGGCCATTGTTGCATCATCTCCCACTGCTTTGCCCCCACCTACATCTTCTGATGGAACGCGTCCCGGTGCGTTGAACTGCGCATGCGGATAAAAGCATCTGCTTATTTAGAAATCTCGTGTTTTACACGTGTTATGCTGCATCCGACCATATGTCACAGTTTTTTTAATGCTTTCCAAATAAAGTTTGGTCGGAGTTAATCCAGCTCAGATTTTGGGAGTAACTGACTATTACAGTAAACAATGAAAGATCATTTGCAAACACTTTTGACTAAAAATAAACAATTTCTCAAAGATTTTCACGCCATTGAGTGTCGGACCGCCGACTCTTTGTTAAATTTATTTAATGCTTATAATAGTGTTTCCGTGCCAACGCGCCCATCATCTACACTTCACAATTCAATGCGTGTGTGTGTGCCGTTGATTTAGGCGGAAATTGCTTTCAAAATCGGTCGCGTCATATTTATTTCATTGAGAACATTAGCAAGACTTTTTATTACGAACATACATTGTTTTATATTTTGTGATTGTAATTTCAAGAATCATACATGCATACGTATGCACAGACATAAGAGTATATACATATGTATGTATATATGTACCTATAGTATATTTATTACAAATTGCGTGTACATCAGAAATTATGTAGAGCTCATAGGGTTAGGCGCTTGGGAGCCCGAAAAGTAGTTCAAATTTGATGCCCGTATTGATTATTTTAAGGAATTGTTGTGCGTGCTTAGTTTGTTTACCTTTCCTGCCCCAAACAGAGCATTCCTGCCTGCAAGCAGGCTCGCCTGACTGCCTGTCTGAAAGTCGCGAAAGCGCAAAATAAAATGGTCGGGCATATCAAGATTGACTTTTATGCGTGTGTGAGCGGATATTTGCTAATCTTTACCGCTTGCGTTTGTTGTTAAAGTGCAGCTTCAGTATACTGAAAATCCAATGCCAATAGTAATAATATAAAAAAAGAAAAAAATCGGCGAACTACAACTAGCTTATTAAGATATGTATGTACATACATATGCATCAAAACCGTTGGGAATGCCCTATAAAAATAGATAGACTAATTAATTAGTCGTGTATGGAATATTCGAAAATGATCCTGCTGTAAAAAATTAAAATGTACATATTTATGAAATGGCATGATTAGTATGATTATAAATTTATTCAATGGAGGAAGGGTATCGTTCGCTCCAATTAATTTAGCAAAAACAAGCTACCGCTTGGTTAAATCTTGGCCATTTCTGATAGTTGGCTTCTACTACTTGGCGAACAAATTTACAAAAATAAAAAAAAATTCAAAATAAACATATATTGAACTTTATAAATTATATTAAAACTACATACATATATTTAAAAAAAACTACATATGTACATATTTAAAAATATTATTAAAAAGCTCCCTCTAAGACTAAATTTTACATATGTACATATATTCTGCCGATTGTATGGAAAGAGTCAAATAAATTTTCTGAAATAAAGGGCAATTATATGGTTATAAAACTACCTCAACTACTTATGCAAAGCATTATGTACAATTTTATTTGAAACAAGTGGTCATTTATTTAGCTGCGTCATATAATTTTTATCGGTCCAAAAGGTTTAAAATCTTAGAGCATTCAATAAATGTGGCCCGTAAATATCTTTGTTTGACTTCTTTAAAGAATGAGTCTCATACTTTGTATTAGTTCACGATATCAAACATACACTGTTTATACAGACGTTAGGTCGTGTTTATTTCTTCAGCTGGATGTCAACTTAAAGTGCAAATGAAGTCAAGACTGTTTATGGGGGTTGTTTTGCCTTGCCTTGGCTTGCCTTTCTTTTGCTGTTGTTTACCAACGAACTGCACCCACTAAAGCGACGCCAGTTTGGGGGTTGCCTGTCCTCTGCCTCTAGCAGAATTGTCAACGCTAGGATTTCCGGCTCCTTTCATGCTTCCATGGGCCCGTTCGCACGTCTGAGTGGCCACTTTTGCAATTGCAACATGCGCAATATTTTCAGCGATGCGTGGGGAATTTCTGCTGCATCTAAGCGTCACACTTATCGCTCAGGGATGGTACGGGAATGGGGAAATGTCATGACAACCAACCAAATGTTTATGTAAATAAAAGATAACACAAGTCTTTTGTAAGCGTAGAAGAAAATCAATATTTACCCTTTGTTTATTTATTTTATTACTCTGTGGGTTGATTTATAGCTCATAAAAATTGGCACAGTCCTTGCCGCACATTGGGGGTAATATACTACAAGTAGTACATTTATGTACATACATACATATGTAGGTCTGTTTGCCACTTGAAAAATTCAATTAAAATTGCATCTTAAAAATTTTGGCCAGCACCCAAACATATTTTTTATTTCGCAATGCTCATATAATTGTCTGCGACAGTTCATATTCTGGACATATCCATATTCCATGCTTTATTTAAATACGTTAAACAATGTAGACAATAAGTACTCGTATGTGGGACATGCGTCTGTTTATGGAACGGCGCCCACTCGATTGGCTATTTTTAAGATATACACTTTTCTTGCTTGCAGATTCCTTCAGTGATTATTTCTCCGACTATGAATGCAATCAACCGCTGATGGAACGGGCTGTTTTAACGGCAACTTCATCGCTGACAGAACGTGGACCGGACAAGGCGCGTCTTAATGGTAAGTGCAAGCAAAGTAGTTATTATTGGATAGACACAAGTTTTTTAGTTTTCCCATCTGTTAAATTAATAGAATAAGGCTGCGCGGTCTTTTTCTAGTTTGATTGATTTGATTAAGTTTTTGTTTGTATATATATGTATATTCGTATATTAGTTGATCAATTTAAAATTCAAACATATTCAACCCCGCCCAACTTCTTTAATTCATTAATTCTGGTCACTCTAAAAAGCTGCTCTTTGCGTACTCTTCTTCTTTACGCCCAGCTGAGTGTGCACGGAAAATGGGAAGAAGAAGCAGCAGCAACAAAGTGTTAGCGAAAAGTTGATTAAGCGACACATCCGACATGTTTTGCCATTTAATTAAATAGTTCGTACAAATATTTTGAAGCCAAATGAGTAAACACATCTGCACTCGTTGGGCCTTCGATTTGAGCACATGGACGCCCACGTTGCCTCAATTGACGCAGGCAGTGGCCGCCATTCAGCCAGAGGAGCGTACACGTCTACTAAAGTTCCATTTCATTGAGGACTTTCTGTCGTCGTTAATTGGCCGCTTGTTAATGCGTAAATATGTGAGCACGTGCAGTGGGCTCCCCTACCAGCAAGTGCAATTTGCTCGAGACGTGCGTGGCAAGCCCTACTGGGTGAAGGGGAAAGGACAGGATCAGACATCACCAGCACCACCCCTCAGCTTCAATGTGTCGCATCAGGGCAGTTTGGTGCTGCTCGCAGGCATCACCACAGATAATGCCAACAGTGACTTTGGCATCGGAACCGATGTCATGAAGGTGGAATATGGTGGGGGCAAGCCTTTGAGCGAGTTTTTTCGCCTCATGCAGAGCAAATTCTCTGCACACGAATGGAGCTATATTGGTCGGCCGCAGCATAATGAACGGGCACAGTTGAAAGCGTTCATGCGGCACTGGTGCCTAAAGGAGGCATACGTCAAGGAGCTGGGCGTGGGAATTACCATTGATTTGGAAAAGATTAGCTTTGCCGTTGATACCACACATCCGTTGGAGGAGGCCGCATCGCCATTGTGTGGCACAACTTTACGCTTCAACGACACACCCATGACGAATTGGCATTTTGAGGAGCATTTATTGTCGCAAAAATATTGTGCAGCCATTGCATTCCGAAACTGCCAGCCTCACGAGAAGGCCAAATTTAAAATTCTACAATTCGAGGATTTGATTGTGCGATGTGAAGAGGCCGCAGAACAACCAGATGTGGTGGCCTATTGCAAGGAGGCGCTTCAAAAGCCACAGAAACGATAGCATATTAAGTTTTGTGTGTCTATCTTTAATAAATATGTATTTTTTTAATACAAAGTCCCTTGTAATCCTTGTTACGTCTGCAAAGTACCAATTACTACCATATCGTGCCATTGCTGTCGCACCCCCGCAACCCTCTGCTTGTCAACCAGCAGCTGTCTGACTGTCTGTGAAAATTAACAAACCTCAGCCGGAAATATGCTTAAAAGGGTATGAAACCAAAAAAATAGATGCCCTCTTCTGTTTACTAGTCCACCAATATGAAGGAAGGGTCTGCAGGCATGTGCCAGACAACTTTGTTTGCCAGCCATTGCATAAAATTATGCACAAACAGCGCGTTGCAGGGGCAACCAGCGCGTATTTTTTGGCCTATCCTGAGTAATTTTTCAATGTTTTATCGATTGCCGCATCGACTACGACGCCAACTATAACAATGATGCACGATAACAGTGTGAGCTATAATGGGAGTGTTCTTTTATCCCCCATGGATATACGCTTTCAGAAAATGATTTGTTAAATGTATAGAAAAGAGCATTTGTTCAAAATTATTTTTAAATTTAAATATAGAATAATAACATATACATATATAATACATACATATATGTACATATAAACTTCGCTTGTTGCTTTTTGGGTTGTTTTATGAACACTTATGCGGCAATGAACCCTTCTTGAACCCAATTTTTTCCTTAATCCTGGCAGAGAACGCTTAAGCGCGCTCCTTCTCGTTCACACACAACTTTGTCACACCTGCCCGCCATTTGCCACAGCCTGCAATTAAAACAAAGGGACACACATAATGCTGAATGTGTTTCTGCAATTGTTTGGGTTCGCCCCAGTGCCATGTCCATTTAGTGTTAACAGCAGAAGCGGGACCCTATATCCAGAACAAAACACAATCAAAGCGAAAATGTGCGAACCCTCACGGCAAACATTTTCAAATTGCAAGCAGTGCCCCATAGGGGTTGATGCTGCAAATAGCGAGGGAACCACGCACCCTTGTTAATATGAAGGACCTTTACTTGTATGCACCACTTTCAGCTGTCAATGGAAATCGGTTTAAATTATAGCATATTAATTGGCTAACGTCGACCGAACGGTCGAACGTGGCGTGGCTAAATGTCAGCATTTGTCCTGCGATAATTTTAATGCTTTGACCCGGAACCACCCAACCAAAACGAACTGACGAGCGATCGATCGACGAACGACTTTCGCTCAGTTTTATATTTATTGTTTTTATTGTACTTTACTGCATAGTGCATTTCAGTTTATTTTAGTTTTTAATTTGTTATTTATTTATTTTATGACCCGTTGTTGAAATTTGAAGCTGGCACCTCTTGGTCTGCCAAAAGCTCGGACTTTGATCAGCGTCTGATTGTTAATTTGGGTGATGTGAAAAATGTCACACACATTGCGCTGCAAGGACGCCCGCATAGCAATGAGTATGTGACGGAGTATACCATTAGCTATGGTATAACCGATTTAGAATTTGCCGACTACAAAGAGCCGGGTGGCAACGTCAAGGTAAGCCACCATTTGACGGTGCTCCCAACACTATGTATAATAAATCTAATCGTCTCTGAGGTGTTGGCTGAATGCATATGGCATTATACTAAAAAAACAAATGGATAGCAGCTGCACAAATATGCACTGACAGGACTTTCATGCCCATTATTCCTTACTAACATTAACATTTTTGTTGGATTTTTTATTTGTATTTCCGCTTATGTTTTTATGGCTTGCATACACGTTGCTTTATTTCTTTGTTTGAATTGCACAAATCGCGCGATTGCGAAACTACTGTAACCCCCACTTCCTACACATAACTAACTACTTACTGGTGCAGGTAACGCTGCTTGGACGCCCGTCGAGAACACATATAACCACTTTCTAACACTCGATTTGGGCGATAAGCGCATGGTCCGCAAGATCGCAACCATGGGACGCATGCACACAAACGAATTCGTAACAGAGTACATTGTTCAGTACTCCGACGATGGGGAATACTGGCGCTCATATGTGAATCCTTCAAGTGAGCCACAGGTAATGTGACTAACAGGGCTGCTACATCTTGTAGGATTCAAAAGTTAATATTATAAATATTGCTGCCATATTTGTTATTTAGACAAATAGAAAGTACTAAAAGTAATTTGTTCAACACTTCCGTAATACTCTTGTTTGTTAGGTGTAATCAGGTGATCAAACTATTTTCTAGATTTGTGTGGATCGTCTTTGAATAGCTATTTCTCCAGCTTTTACAATTCTAAATCCGTCATTACAGAAACACTAATATCGTTTTTAAGAAAGTGGTTAATTTATTGTTGTAAGCAAAATATAAAGTTTCTTAAAATTAGTAATTAGAAAATGTCGATAAACTTCAACTTCACACATGTACTTGTATTTACACATAACATATCATTCCGTATAACAAGAACTGTTAAGATATTAGCAAATTCACAAAATATAGAATTATATAATAAAACTTTTCGTGTAAAAGTTACAGTTTACAATGTGTAATATTATTTGCGACTGCAGATTTAAATCTCCCGTTACTAGGAGAAATTACTAACTGAAGAAATCCATTTATTTATTAGGCGGCTCGTTTTAAGCAATAAAAATGTACTTTTTGTTTCTAATAACTAATTCTAGGCTAAGCATGTGGTTGAGTAAAACTAACCAATAATTTTGGCACAATGGGTTGACGGCTTTTGAAATTCAATTTAATAAAGATTAATATCTAATGTCGCAATGTTTTGTTGCTACACAGATGTTCAAAGGCAACTCGGATGGAAATTCGATACATTACAACATTTTCGAGGTACCCATCATAGCGCAATGGGTCCGCATCAATCCCACTCGCTGGCATGATCGCATTTCCATGCGTGTGGAGCTCTATGGTTGTGAATACGGTAAGTCCAATCAGATAGAGCCAATATTGGAGAATTAATCAATTCCTTAAATTGCAGTTGCCGAAAATCTATACTTCAATGGCACCGGACTCGTTCGGTATGATCTGCGTCGCGAGCCTGTGGCCTCCACTCGCGAATCCATACGCTTTCGCTTTAAGACAGCCTTTGCCAATGGCGTAATGATGTATTCGCGTGGCACTCAAGGCGATTACTATGCTTTGCAACTGAAGGACAATAAGATGGTGTTAAATTTGGACTTGGGCTCTGGTATCATGACTTCGCTTTCGGTGGGCAGTTTGCTGGATGACAACGTGTGGCACGATGTAGTGATCTCTCGCAATCGTCGCGACATTATCTTCTCGGTAGATCGTGTAATTGTTCGTGGACGTATCAAGGGTGAATTTAGTCGCTTGAACCTGAATCGAGAGCTATATTTGGGTGGCGTTCCAAATGTGCAGGAGGGCATTATTGTTCAGCAGAATTTCTCGGGTTGTTTGGAAAACATATATTTAAATTCCACGAATTTTATACGCAACATGAAGGACAGCTATGAGCTGGGCGAGGCATATTTGTTTACCCGAGTCAATACCATCTATGCGTGTCCTTCGCCGCCCATTTATCCGGTAACGTTTACCACTCGCAGCTCTTTTGTGCGCCTCAAGGGGTACGAAAACTCTCAGCGCTTGAATGTATCCTTCTATTTCCGTACCTACGAGGAGAGTGGTGTCATGATGCATCACGATTTTTATTCAGGCGGGTATATCAAGGTATTCCTGGAATTTGGAAAAGTTAAAATCGATTTAAAGCCCAAAGACAAGCCGCGTATTATTTTGGACAACTATGATGAGCAATTTAATGATGGAAAATGGCACTCGTTTGTGATTTCCATCGAGCGCAATCGCCTGGTGCTCAACATTGATCAACGCCCCATGACCACGACAAAGAATCTACAGATTGCTACTGGTCCTCTCTACTACATTGCGGGTGGCAAGGAGAAGAATGGCTTTGTGGGCTGCATGCGTTTGATTTCGGTTGATGGAAACTACAAACTGCCGCAGGACTGGGTGCAGGGTGAAGAGGTGTGCTGTGGAGATGAGGTCGTCGTAGATGCCTGCCAAATGATTGATCGCTGCAATCCAAATCCCTGCCAGCATAAGGGCGTGTGTCATCAGAATTCAATGGAGTTCTTCTGCGATTGCGCCCACACTGGTTATGCGGGAGCCGTGTGCCACACTTGTAAGTTTATAGTGAATATAAAATGTTCAATTTATTATTATTTGTATCCCAAACAGCAAACAATCCACTCTCCTGTCAGGCTCTGAAGAATGTACAGCATGTGCAGCAACGCGTCAATATGAACATCGATGTGGACGGAAGTGGACCGTTGGAGCCCTTCCCCGTCACCTGCGAATTTTACTGTAAGTCACAGCCATTTGTCGAAGCTTGCTTTTGTTATTAAGTCCTTAACATATTTGATGTTAGCCGATGGCCGCGTCATTACCACCCTGAGTCACAGTCAGGAGCACACCACCACTGTTGATGGATTCCAGGAACCGGGCTCGTTCGAGCAATCAATCATGTACGATGCCAATCAGCTGCAAATCGAAGCTCTGCTCAATCGTTCCCACAGTTGTTGGCAGCGTCTCAGCTACTCCTGCCGCTCGTCACGCCTCTTCAATTCACCATGTAAGTTAGACACTTGACGTGGTTACAGCTGTCATTGCTTATAAGCTCTTTGCGTTATTTTTCTTAGCGGAGCCCGGCAACTTCCGTCCATTCTCTTGGTGGGTTTCTCGCAATAATCAACCCATGGACTACTGGGCAGGCGGTCTACCTGGATCGCGGAAATGCGAATGTGGTATTTTGGGCAAATGTCAGGACCCCACAAAGTGGTGTAATTGCGACTCCAATACGCTAGATTGGACAGAAGATGGTGGTGATATTCGCGAGAAGGAATATCTACCAGTTCGTGCAGTAAAGTTCGGCGACACCGGCACACCGCTAGATGAGAAGCAGGGTCGTTACACGTTGGGACCACTGCGCTGTGAGGGCGATGATCTGTTTAGTAATGTTGTAACCTTCCGCATTGCCGATGCCTCAATCAATTTGCCGCCCTTCGACATGGGCCATTCGGGCGATATATATCTTGAATTCCGCACCACGCAGGAAAATTCAGTGCTATTTCACGCCACCGGCCCTACCGATTACATTAAACTCAGTCTGAACGGTGGCAACAAACTACAGTTCCAATATCAGGCAGGCAGCGGGCCACTGGGCGTTAATGTGGGCACCAGCTACCACTTGAACGACAACAACTGGCACACAGTGAGTGTGGAGCGTAATCGCAAGGAGGCGCGTCTCGTTGTCGATGGCTCCATCAAGGCGGAAGTGCGTGAGCCGCCAGGTCCAGTGCGTGCGCTGCATTTGACCTCAGATTTGGTAATTGGTGCCACAACAGAATATCGCGATGGCTTTGTAGGCTGTATACGTGCCCTGCTGCTCAATGGCAAGATGGTGGACTTGAAGCAATATTCTACCCGTGGTCTCTACGGCATCAGCACAGGCTGTGTGGGTCGTTGTGAATCCAATCCGTGCCTCAACAACGGCACATGCATTGAACGCTATGATGGGTATAGCTGTGACTGTCGTTGGAGCGCATTCAAGGGACCAATTTGTGCAGATGGTATGTTGAAATGGTTGTTAAAACTATTTTGAATACAGATTGATAAGTAAGCTCATTTTCCTTGCAGAAATTGGCGTCAACTTGCGTTCCAGCTCAATCATACGTTATGAGTTTGAAGGTTCCTTCCGGTCCAGCATTGCTGAGAACATACGTGTTGGCTTTACAACAACTATACCTAAAGGTTTTCTACTGGGTTTCTCATCTAACCTGACCGGCGAATATTTAACCATACAAATATCCAATTCAGGTGGGTTTTAGTAAACAATATTATTCTCATATGCTAATTATTCACGTCATTACACTTTTAAAGGACACTTACGATGCGTCTTCGACTTTGGCTTCGAGCGTCAAGAAATCATATTCCCCAAAAAGCATTTCGGTCTTGGCCAGTACCATGATGTGCACTTCATGCGAAAGAATAGCGGTTCCACAGTCGTCCTACAGGTCGACAACTATGAGCCGGTGGAGTATCATTTCGATATTAAGGCCTCAGCAGATGCCCAGTTTAATAATATCCAATACATGTACATTGGCAAAAACGAGTCCATGTCCGATGGCTTTGTAGGTTGTGTATCGCGTGTGCAATTCGATGATATCTATCCCCTTAAGCTGATGTTCCAGCAGAATCCACCAAAAAATGTGAAATCGCTAGGCAGTGAGTACCTGCATAAGTCAGCTTCAGATTTGGTATAATATTTTCTACTTTCCAGCTCAACTAACCGAGGACTTTTGCGGCGTTGAGCCCGTAACACATCCCCCCATTGAAATTGAAACCAGGCCACCACCATTGGTGGATGAAGAGAAGTTGCGCAAGGCTTACAATGAAATAGATTCCGTGCTGCTAGGCTGTAAGTGTTTTCCGTATGTGTGTCTTTGTTTTGAAATATTATTTAATTTCAAAACCTGAGATTTCACAAGTATCTTTAATGATATGCACAAGTTGATTTTAATTCCATGCAATGCATTTTGTTTTCTAGGTCTGCTCGTTATACTCTTCTTACTGGCCTTATTAGTGATCTTCCTAATTGGTCGTCATTTGCATCGACACAAAGGGGACTATTTGACGCATGAGGATCAGGGCGCCGATGGTGCCGATGATCCTGACGATGCAGTGCTGCATTCAACCACTGGCCATCAAGTAACGAAAAGACGCGAGATCTTTATTTAGATGTTGAAATTGGTGGGGAAGTATTTGGAGGATGAAGGTATCCGCTTGCTGGTTGCAAGTGTGTGCAGGAAGACACAAATTGTTTGTAAACGCCTTAGACATGCAACACCATTTAAACACACAAAACAAAAATCAAACGATAGGAAACGATACAGATGCAGATCACTTTTTATATGTGTCCATAATTGTACTTTTTCCCTACACTGCCAATTGTTTTGCAGAAGATTTGCAGTAACATTTGCTTTATAATTGGTTAAAGTTTTGATGTATGTATTGCTTTTGATGCTCAACGGCATTTTACCTTATTTTTACTTTGGAACTCTCAATAGTTTTACAAAACCGTCCATTTTTATTTGATTTTATCATATTTTTGTTTACCAAATTAAGCATAAATTTTAATTTAGTTTAATCAGCAATCAATTTTAAAACAAGGTCAACATTCCATTATATTTAATATATTTTTCTCTAAATAATTTTAAATGTCTTCTAATTTACACAAAAGTATATTGATTTTGTGGTAAAACAAAATTTCTAAGTTTAAATGTTTAATAATGAAATAAAAACGAATTGTATTTTTGGAAAATACAAATAAAGTTTTATAAACACAAATTTAAAACATCGTAAATATGTATATCAACAATGTATATAGAGTTATGCCTATATATGTGTTTAAAATGGGACAATGAACAATTTTTAAATTACATACAATAAAATAAAATTTAAAATATTATAATGTAGTTTTTTCTACTACTTACCTTTTATTGCTATAACGAATAAAAACTATTAAATGATTCAGTCTCTTAACGTTTATTTTACAATAAGCTTGTTTACTAAAATATATGTTTATGTATATGTATTCGCTATTTTGTAATTGATATTTATGCATGTTTTATGTGTATAATTTATTCGTAACAATATTGTTTAACACTAATTTTGATTACTACGGGCTTCTATTTTCATTATTATGCTACTAAATTTATTGGAATATTCGTTATGTTTGTGAGTTGGTTTGTATGTAAAATGTGTATCTTATTATCCAACAACAGTCTAAATGGCTTTTAACATTTTAAGGTAAAATAGACGTTAACACTGGATGGGTGTAATTGGGTTTATGAATACTCGTAGCTGCCTAATATTATGTTTTGGCATCGTTGTATTGCGTAAATAATCGTTGACTTGTATATGCAGCTATACGTAAGGCCTATCTATAGGCAGACCTGGTAAGCAATTGTATTTGTTCGTTGTAGTTCAACGAGCTATGTTCTATTCTCTATGATCTGTTATTCATCCCAACCGGAACAGACTTTAAGACAAGCTGAATTCGTATTTCTATTTTCAATTAAATTACCCATCCAGAGTTAATGGAGTTATGATCTAAATAGTATCAGAGAATAGACACACATACAAATATGTAATAAGATTAGTCTGTCTACGCTATTTATATTCGCTATAGGGATATGTTTAATGAGTTTGTTTTCGAAACGGAAGCTAACAGTTTTTCCTATTGATTATGTACTTGATTACTTGATATAACATACATATGCATTGATTTTCCGTCTCAAAGTACAACAATTTTTTATTGTTTGGCGCATAAGCGCTTGTGCTAAAAAAATCTCGTTATATAAAAAACACGTACCAAAAACTATCACATTGCAAAATGGAAAATATCGGGGAAAAGGTTCAAACAATTCTACAAACATATACGTACATATGTACGTACATTCAAACACTGACACATACATATACGCACGTGACTCTTTGAGTTCCATATTGTCCCAGTTTTATTCGCCCATCATGGCCCAGCTTTCAGTTATGCACATTGCCATCAGCCAACATACGATAACGATTTAAGAGCTGCACGGCAGGATCTGTAACAAGAATTTTCCCGTGTGCCTCCTCGTAGGCATCCAACATGATTCGTTCTCACAAAATCGTACAGAGCACAAAGAGCAGGCTGACGAAGCACAGCATGGCCACAATGTCCCGATGCAGCTTCCGATCCCTGTAGAAGGGTCTTGTGGCATAGCTTTCGCGTCGCGTCTGGCGCAGCAGCCAAATGGGAACGGTCAACTGCAAAATGTCCGGCACCATGAATCCAATATCCCGCACAACCTGATGCGCATAGCCCTCGCCTCGGATGATATTCATGAAGAACTGATCGAAACTGCTGGCCAGTATATGCAGCAATGCAATTCCCACAATACAGAAGATTTTCTTTGGGGTGACCACATTGGTGGTGCAGGCCAAATGCATCACCAATACCGTGGAGACGAGCTCCGTTATCTGCAAGTAGGCAAATAAAAGAAGGGAACTTGAGTTGTTGCGATTTCCAAGAGTGCACTGTGAAAAACGGGTGCACCGTTAATTCGATAGCTATACTATAAAGATCATAAGGTTAATATTTAATATCCTCTAAGTATCTACATCAAGTATTGGTTAAATAAACTTGGCATTGGCAGGCAAATGAACCATACATCTATTCAACTTATTGGGAAAATCAGTGTTAGCTATGCTATGCTATAAAGATCATAAGGTTAATATTTAATTTCCTCTCAAGTATTTACATAAAGTATTGGTTATATAAACTTGGCATTGGCAGGCAAATGAGCCATACATCGATTCAACTTATTGGGAAAATCACTATTATAGTCCAATTAACAGCTTATTTTGTTTACCAGCATTATTTTAAGCAAATATGGGATTTATAAGATTTGTATAGTGCATCAGAATATTTTGATTTAGAAACGTAGAAAAAAAGCTAATTAACTTTGTTGTTGGTTACGATAAGTGTGTGTATTTAAGATTCTGGCCGACATGACTTTAAATATAGTTCTGCAATTGCAGAGCATGACTCTGGTATGCTGATTTGCCAAACAATTTTGTATGTAAAAATGCAATCGGCACTCGGTAAACGAAAAACTTTTTAAATGCTAACACACTTAAAAAATATCTTCCAAAAACACCCTATATATATAGTAACTATTGGTGGCGGATTTAGTCTATTCTTGTCTCAGAAGCAATCTCCGCTACTAGATAGGACAACCAGTCGCGAGGTATTACGTACATATGTATTTGCATACTACTTTATCAGTCGTATTTATATAAAATACTTCTGAAATAATACTTTAAAGATTTTTGTCTCCTAATTCTTTACTCTGAATAAAAACCTTCCAATGTGTAAGCTAAGGCATTCCATTGAGTTTACATAAATTAATTATCATTAGATATTTTTTTAAATAATTGAATTAAATGTAAATGTAAAAAGAACTCGTCATATCTTAATGTAGCTATTTGTAATATTAATTGATGTGTTCTATATTGAATTCATTTTATTTTCGATTATATTTGAAAGTAGCCTGATCTTTTCAAATCATTTCTCTCAGTGTGCTCATTAACAGCTACCAACTTTTGCCTTGTTGGCTGCCTGCTCTGACCTTCATCGTACAATTTACACTTGAAACTTTTGACGGCTTAAATTGTTCATGGAATTCGGCAGCGGATTGCCGGATAGCCATGCATCTCATCCATCGATCCATCAGCATCCAACGGCAGGTGAGCGGGACGTTTGTGGCCATTCCAAGTGCGTAGAAGTAGAAGCGCATGCTGTGCCCTGAGCACAAAGTTTAATACTATGGCGAGGCGAATATTGTGCAAGTTTTGAGCACCCGCTCTCGCAACTTAGCTAATAAATTATGAATAGCCAATAGCTAAGTAGTGAGCAGCACATAACTTGTTCCACTATTTGTCTTTCAGAAACTACATGTCCGAGTTCTAGGAGTTCTTACATATGTAAACATATGGAACATGTCAAACACTTGTCGCACCCATACCCGCACTTACCGTGAAGAACATTTGATGGTTCCATTGATTGTAGTAGTCATCGTTGTAATAGTTGATGTACGCCCACCAGGCATAGTAGTGCGAGAATATTGATAGCATAAAGAGCAACAGCATCGAGTACCGCACCCGTTGCTGCAGGATGAGGGCAATCAGCCGCTTGATGCACTCGTAGAGGGCAATAACAGCGAAGACTGTCAGTAGCCACATCTTGAATGTGTTGGGCGTGGCATTGAAGTACATGTGCTTGTAGGCGGCCACACCGGACTCGTAGGGTCCCTTAAACACCGTGTCCCAACAGGAGCAGGTGCAAAAATGACGATCCACATAGCGGGCATAGTTCTCCCAAAAGTACCACAAGATGACAATGTGTGCGGGTGGTATCAGAGCTGGTGCTAGAGATCCGCAGGCGGTAGGCAGCCAAGTAATGTCAAACATTATTTCCACTGTTCAATGTGCGTCGGAGTCTGTGGGAAAACCCGGCTTAAGCTGCCCGATAATTACGAGTGGTCCCAAGTGTTTTAATTATTGTAAGAGCACCTCTTTTTGTTGTAGTTCTTTTTGGCTTGTCATGCCTTTGTTTGGAGAAAGCTTTAAATAAAGGCATTTTTAATTTATTTTTAAACATCCAGTAAATTATATAAGTAAATTTTATACTTAAGCTAAGTTTTTGAAATGCTTGGATAGCCTTTATAATAAGTACAAGTATTTCTGCTATTTGTTGCAAATGTTATTTAATTTTAGTTTTAACCATAAATAAAGGCATTTTGCTGTCGAAAAAAACGTCCATATTTTTGAAAATATTAAATTAAATTTTTTGATTGAGAAAATATAATTTTCTCTTCAGAAATTATATTTTGAATTTAAGAATTAGTTTTCCAGCTATCTCTATGATGATGGTTTTTGAAAAAATCAAAAATAGCATAAAATGTTCAATACATACAATGTATGTGTACATTTATAAATTATATGAGAACAAGAAACTGCCTGAAAACTAGGACAGGCTGTCTTACCGAGTTTAGTCAAGGTTTAGTCAGTTTAGTCAGGCTTAGCGGCTTTTGAAATGCAGACGTTCATTCTGACGGACGGATAGACGGTCAAGAGCGATTTGTTTTGTTTATGTGGTCCGAAATTTGTACTTTTGGTTATTACATTCTTTGGAAACCTTATACACCCTTCTGTAATCTGTACGATTTATTTAATGCAAATAATTTAAAATAACAACGAGCATGTTGATGTAATTTTTCTATAGCCTGAATTTGAATCGGATTAGTGTCTATGCCTTTGTGTTTATCAAACTTTATTAATATAAAAATTTATAAATAATTGGGGATATGAATATAAATCTTAGAAACAGTCTGGGATATTTAAAAAATACAAATGGAGCACATTTTGTTGCGAGGTAAGGATGGAGGTATATTCTTTTTATGATGGAACACAGTGCTGGTATCATTCAGCAGAATGTTTGCTATACGTTGTTGAGTAATTTACGCACAAATTCAGATACGATTATAGCTTTTCTAAATTCGAAGCGCCCTTCTTAAATACGTACTCAAGTTAGGCATTTTGGTTAAACGCGAATTTTTTATTTTGGGGCATACTGAATAATTTTCTTTCGAGTTATGTTTATCAATAAATGCATGTCGAATTTAACGTAAAGAATACTTTTTTTCAGTACGTGAGTTTAATATTAAAAAAATAAACTAAAAAATCAACTCAACTATATATTATTAAGAACTAAATGTTATTGTACAAGTGATCAAAGCAGCTGTTTTATTTAAGTACCTGAAAATTTGGGACTGCTAAGAATGTAAGATTAATCTTTCTATTTAAAAAAAAAAACAACAACTAAATCTGCACAATAGCTTGAGTGCTACAGGCTTCATTTAAAACAGAAAGTATTGTAAACAAAACCACATTGAGCTTTCTTTAATCATTTATAGTACCCATTTATTATATAAATATTTATGGTGGGTAGTGTAAACATTTCTGTGATTTGGGTTGGCATGGTGATCGAAAAAATGAATTTCAACAAAATGTAAATAAAATTGTAGCACTTTCCGAATGTGCGATGCGTGCGTTTGTTACTTAAAATAGAGACAGCGAACCCATTTTCCGAATACCTTGCCCCAAAATTGGCATGCAAATTGTCATATATGTACATGTATGTACATACCTATGTACTACACGTATATGTATATATATATATATATATAGGTATTTTGTGATGCACGAGAGCCTCTGCGCATTTGGGTGCTTACTCGCATGTGCTCCACTCTCAGTTGTCGGCATGCAGCATCGACTATGATGTGGGCCCAGCATTGATGCAATTATAAATTCATGCATACGCCACCAGACGACCAGCATCATGCAATCCAATTTCAAGGCATACACCTAGGAACGGGAACACTTTTACGGATGTGTGTGTGTGTGTTGTATTTGTAGAGATGGATGTGCCGGCCAGAGATGGCTGCCAACAAAAAAAATGCGAGCGGTCATTAGCGACGACTGGTGCATTGCTCAAAGGGTGTTCGTTTGTGGGTAATACGAATAGTACAAGCTACAACATCAACAACAACAACTAGAACGATCCTACAACAGATGCCAAACAATGCCGAGCAAAAACCGTCCAATTGCCGTTTCGAGTGCTCGACTCCGTACATACATTTTATGGGGCAGTCGTCGCGGCTGCCTCTATTTAATTAATGCCGTCGAATGTGCAGTTGTGAGTGAGAAACTATTTCAATTCATTGTTGTTGTTCTTGCTGCTGTTGCTGGACCATGTTGTTGCGCCACAGCGTAATGGAAACACAAACAAAACAATACAATACACTCCTACGTACACACTGACGTCATAGTTTCTGCTTGGAAAAATAAATGCCGCTAGAATGTTTTCTTTTATTCGACAATGAAACGAAAATTAAATTCAACAAGAAACCTCATCATCATAACATGTTAGCTGACCATGAATCTAAAATCAAGGAACGCAGTATGAATTAATCAAACTATGTATATACAGCATGGGTTAGCCAATGAGGATCAATTCTGCATTTATCGGTGGAAGTAATTGAATGTTCAATGCATTCATATAAACATACATAGATACATATGTTTATTAATGACTCTGGTTTGGTTGCTCTTTACAGAAGGAGCCACATGCCATACCAAAAATAAAGTATAATAAATCAGTACATAGGTAAATATTTAATAGAAATACGTGAAGTAGGAGGGAAGGATTTTCGATTTATGCTGCAAAAACCCATTTTGTTGACTATCAATGTGTAAGCTGATTGTAGCTATGTAACTACTTTACTACTTAAAGCGTATATCTAATGCAAGAATGTATAAATTCGATTATGTCATGCATTCGCAAATACACGGAGACATTGCACAAGGTGCTAACAAATTTTTACGATTCATAGATAAGCGGACACAATATGTTTGTTTATACCCACATTTTCAACCCTATGTCATATATGATATATGTATATAAATAAGAAACATTTCCATGAGAAAAGCTTAGCAAGTTTTTAAGAAAATCGAATTAAAATTGTACAACATGCAGATGTAATGATCTAATATATTTGTACTTGTAAGCTTCGAAGATCATTTTTAATTACATACGTGTACATGTGTACAAATATCGGGACAAGTCCCGGATCAGAAATGTTTTATTTTGAGGGCTATAACTTAACATAACCGTAACTTTCTCCGCATCTAACGACCGTAACAATTAGACGTAACAATTAGAAATATACAAATTCTATAAATGTCCATATCAAACACCTGATGCGTCCAAGATCATTTCTAGAATTTATTTGTGTATTTACTTATTGAAGTATTTTGTTATAGTTAAATCTAAATATCTTTCAATAGCATATGGTTCAATTCGATCGATGTGTAATAGAGAAGTCCAATGCTGGTGCCTTAGCCTCTACGTAAATTGGTGATACGAGCATAAGAAACCCCTTGTAATACAAGCTGCAAATTGTCATAAATTGGAAAACTTCGCTTTTATTACCAGCACTCACGTTTTGCTCAGCATGCCCTCAACTCTTTGGCATATCGTTGCCAACTTGGCAAGGACTCTCGAGTGGCACGTTTGTTTACCAAGTCATCAAATTTTACTTTGTGCTACTTAAAGCGCACGCCACAGACACAGACGCATAAATCAAATGTCTGCGCTAGGACTTACAGTTTAACACATGCTCAGAGGCACCCTTTACACTTTCAGGAGTCTCAGCCCCCCACCGATCCCGCAAGCATTCAAATCGCGTGCGAAAAGTCACAATTCTTGCAACAGCTTCGTGTAAACAACACCTAGAGCAACAAAGGCAACACCAACAACAACAACAAGAAATACAATAATAACAGCGTCGCCAGCAGTGACAACAAAGCCGTCGACAAACGTCACTTGAGCTGCGCTGTCGCTTTGGCAACGGGACGGATGAGTTATATGAGTGCGACACATTGAAATGCGGGAGACTGTGAGTCTGCCTGCTAGTCTGCCTCTCTATATGTATGTATATGCATGTATTCGTCTCTGTGTGTGTGTGTGTGTGTGTGTAAGTGCGGAATGCGTTCTTTGCATGCTCATTTGTGTCTCTTTCAATTGTCGCCGTCGTCTCTGTTGTTGTTGCTGTTTTTACTGCATTGAATGGTTGGAGCTTATTTAAGCCATAAAAGTGCCTTTCATGCACTGATCCGAAACTGAAACTGAAGCAGTGCATAAATTTAGCCACCAGTTAGTTCGATAAGTTGCATATAAAAATATTACACATACGCCCCATGTGACTGCTAACGAAAATAATAATGCATTGAAATGTGTTTGCGCTAAATGCCAAATGATGCTCGAGCACGTGTGCGTGTTTGTTGCCTTAGCAACTATTAAACAGGCATACACATAAGCTTGTATATACACTTGTGCAAAAAAGTGACATAAATTGGTTTTTTAATTTTTACACTCTTGTTTGCTAGAAAAAAAAGTATTCTTGAAACTGTAAAGCCATACCTATAATAACTCGTATTATAGACTAAAGTTTCTATAATGTGTTATTTTCTACTATTATTTATTACTTCTTGCGGCCATGCCAACTTCACAAATATGTTTACATTAGCAAGTAATCCAAAGTACAGTAAAGTAAAAAAAGATTTTTAGAAAATCGCAGTCGGTTTGAAGCAATTGGCTAGATCGTTTAGTCAACCTCATTTTCTATGTATTCTTTCAACAAAAAAAGAACAAAGGTAAAAACTGAAACATGAGAAAAACTCTGCTGGAAATATTTAGATATAACCAATTCTTAGCAAAATGATTGTTTCTGCACTGTTTTTAATTGAACAGCTCTGTAAATTATATTCGAGTTTAAATACAGCAGTTAACAAACGAAATTACGTTATTAGCTTCCAAAGGGATATCATAGACCTTAAAACTGCATACTAAAGGGAAAGGTAACCTTACCTAATCTTGTATTTAAACTGTAAAATAATAAACAAATTTTCTTCGGCTTGTGTGGTCTTAGTTCTATTGAGAATAGTCAATTTTCTAACAGTGTATATGTAAATATATACATGTATGAACCATGCGTGGGCTGTTCGTTTACATTGAGATAAATCGCAAGCAATAACATTGCCTATATGACGTTTGTTTAGTCAATATTTATTTTAGCATCAGACACGAAATTGTGACTAGAGAAACACACACACTCCCGCACACACATATATTGTGTATAAATACTTGGATATAGCATGTGGATAGAAAAGCAGACAGTCAGTCACGGCGGGTCACAATCAAACACAATTGTTGCCCTGTAATGTCTGTATAGTTGAACCTCAGAAATTGCTTTCAAATGTCGAGACTGTGGGCCGGTTATTTGGTAGGGTTGCTGATGGGCTGATGTGGGTGTATCTGCTTGTTTGTTGGGTGCAAGTACAACGAACCAACCGGCTTAAGTGTCGGCGGCAAAGGTAAACACACAAAGCAAGTCAGCAAATTGTTCAGGTATACATAAAAATAAAGAAAAACCGAAAAAATCGAAATACAATCACGCGGCTCGACTAAAGGCAGAAACCCATATTACACCACTATGTATACGCACCAGGGACACATGTCTTAGGAGTCGGATGCTGCAGCCAGTTCCCTTTATTCCGCACAACAGAACATATTAAACGCACTTTTGTAAATGAACCCGAGCGCTGACTAGCAAAAATTACAGCACGACATCAAAGGCAATTGAGATAGCTTCGTAATTGAACGGACAGCTAATAGATAAATAATTTGATATCCGAAAAAAACAAGCACTACAATTTTCAATTGCTGCAATAGTCTTCTTGAAAGAACAACCGCAGGCGCGTCGGGAAAAAAGCGACTGAAATTTTGTTATGCTCTTGGTTTCTTCTTTAACCGAAGCCCCAGCATAGCGGCGGCGTTGTCTCGCAAATGTTTTCTAACAACAAAATACTGGGCAGGAGAGCTCTCAGCTGTTAACACCCTCGCATGTACACAAACATACAGTCACACACATACACACTAACTAAACTATATGTGAAGAGAGAACAAGCGGCCGGCATTGTACACAGAACGAAAATAATCAAGTGTAAGCTTTCGATGTACTTGTGTAAAACTGGAATAGTACCTTTGAGTTATTAATTATTGTAGTTCGTTGTGCGTTATTTGTTATGCCTATTTTCAATTTTTTAAAATCAAATTAAAAATAAATAATGGGGTGTACATATAATAATAATCACTGCGTCTATGTGTGCTTTTGTGTCTGTGCAGCTGCAAAAGAATCAGTTTCAAACCGATGTAATAAATGCGTTCGTGAAGGACAAATAGGCAAAACCTCCAAAATCCCGCAAGTTGAATCTACTTATTTTAATAATAAAGCAGTTTTTCGAGAAGCCACTGGAATACTGGAAGGCACAACTTCTGGCACTCACATAAAACTTATTTTATAGTCAAGTGTATATTCATGAAAAATCTATGCATTTCAGGATGTGTTTGTGTTTTCGCACTGAACTACTGTACCCTTTGGGTACAGGGTATAAATAAGCTGCTGCTAGAACATGGTAAGAGAACATTCTTTTTTTTCGATCTCACAGACAGTCATGGCTTAATACGAATTATCTCGTCATACTGATGAATTTTTATATGTATACATACCTTTGGATTCATTGTATAAAATATACAAGATGGAGTTTTCCAATCGAAATTTTGAAGGAGGTCCTTAGTTCTAGTCCTTTTTCTTTGTTTGTTATGCCCATAAAGAATTTGTACAACTTATATAGTTTAAACGAAGGGATGAATGTAGCCCAAAATAGAAATACTCCTTAAAATCAATTTATTTTCAGTTCAATTTTATCAGTTGCTTCATCTAATATATTCTCATTGTAGTACTGTTTGAAACTTGGAAGCTTAATATGATTGTATTAAGAAAAGAAAACTGTGTCAGGAAGATGTACTAAAAACTGTCCAACTTAACTTTATCGAAGTTGGTTTTAAGAAAAAAAATATAGAAAAAGTATGAGAATAAGAATTTTGTTGGACCTTAAATTTAATAAAGTGCTTCATGTTCTAATTGATTGAGTTAATTGTAATTGAATTTGGGCGTTTCTGTTTCCAAGCCTATACTTATAAGAGTCAAAAATGTGAGAAACTTGGATATATCACAAAAATAAGATAAGTACATATAACAAACACCGACTATTTTTAAATGACTCGCACTGTAATGCTCGATGGCTCTCTCTGCTTGTAACTGACTCTCTTCCGTTAAGGGTGCATGAGAGTGTGCTCAGTAAAAATACTGGGAATTGCATGCGGCATTTGACATTGCCAAATAAATTAAGTATACGCGCTGTTGGCCGAGCATTGGCTGTTAAAGCATCGGCATCAGCAATGCAATGGCAATTATGTGTGTGCGTGTGTGAAATGCTAATGCAAGTGAAAGGCACAATTCAGCCGACTGACACACATGGATTTGTTATGGTCTCAACTGTAGATATACTTATATACAAGTATATACATATGTACTTGTATTCAATGTTTTTTGGAACTGCCTGCAATGTACTTACAGCTACAAATACGTTTTCTTGTTAGCCATGCACCTGTTGAAGCAATTCTTTGATTTTATGGTCTGTTTGTGAATGGGTGTGTTGGTTAGCGCTCTGAAGTTGAAAACATTTATGATTCGCACACCCAATACAGGTCCCTGTGGAAATCCAAATGCTAATTTCTCCGGTTCCCGTGTTAAAAAACATTGTGTTTATTGAAAATATTTTTTACATTTATGTATGGATTTTATTATACATTTTGGCATTCGATGTTTACATTTTGCTAAAAACCTGCGCGCTTAACAAATTCCCATGGTCGCGTTAATACATGAATATCTCTATTTATGTAAATAATTTATCTCGCAAATTTAACTGAAACTTTTATCGTTTTATAGTGCATTTTAAATATGCTAATTAAATAGTTGTGGCCACTTTAATTTTGGATTTTATGTTACGGCCACATTTACATTTAAAGTGGCAGCTGCCACAAAAGTAAGCCCAAGTGCCTGTTTGAGTCGACTCCTACAACCATTGCCATTGTAATATCTTGTGAGCACATACACACTTTGAAAAGATGCGAGTGTATGTGGAAGTATGGAAACAATGGCTTTAATTTATATGCACTCTGGTAATTAAAAATTCTTTCCTTGCTTTCCAAGCCATTTCGCCATTGTTCTACAAATTGTGGTGACTGCCTTAAATTATTTAGGACTAGTATAAGTGCCATACAATCATATATTTAATGCAAACATGCATATGTATATTCACGAAATATTTATATAACTATACAAAGATACATGTAATGGGGCTTATCGTCAAGTTAGCTTTTAATATATAAATTCGTTTCGACATTCGTGCAAATATTTGTTAATTGTTTCAAATTTCATCTTATAGTACATTGAGCTTATCTCTTATTTAAAATCCTTTCTCTTTATTTGCATTAAAGATTTCACACTTGAAATATTACCAAGGCTATTTTCAAACAATGTCAGCTGCTTTGTGCAGTCAGAAATAAACAAAAAAGAAATAACAATAACGTTGAGTGCCAAATAGATGACAATGGTACTCAAAGCAAGCAAATTTTGCAATTTAGTTTAACAGCAATAAAAAGTGAAAATGTTATGTGATTCAATAAAGTGTAGTATGCATAGTAATCCATCCTGATAGATTTTATCGTTAAGAACATTTTACATTTTGACTCTTTTAAAGATAGTATATATTAATAGAAGAAAGTAAAGGACGACATCAACATTCGCAAAGCCCGTGAAGCTCGAACACTCTTCAATATTTAAATATAATATCTATAATAAAAGAAGATTTTTTGTCAGGTCATTATAATTAATGCATTATTTCCCGAAATTCCTGTTACATATTAAATTAGGAAATCAAACATTAAAAATTGTAATGTAAATTATAATTGTAACATTGAATAAAATGACATACTGGTTTTAGTTTTATTTCTTGCGAAATCTAACAATGCACCTATATTTTATACAATTGTTGAGATTATTGTTCTTCTGGAATTAATGGAATTATAATCAACAGTTTCGAAATTAAATTCAAACTTGGTTCAATTGAAACACAACCTTGTCCAAATTCTAACAATGTTTATTTCTAAACAAAGGAAACCATACGCAAATGACGAATATTTAATTGGTTTAAAATCGAACTATTTTCTAAGCGATTTTTTAATTTAGGATACCTTCGTTTAGAGTGTGTAAAAAGATTAATAAAGTCACTAAAATATGCTTTTACATACATACAAATGCATATACTTGTAGGTAAAAGCTCTTAGGAATATATATTTAGTAAATGCTTAAAATTTTTTGTTTTCAATGCATGCTCAAAATCAAAGGACTACATATTTCATAGTTACATTTATTACTGTAAATGTGAACAAATGCAAATGTTGATATATTTGATGAGTATTTAATAATTGCTTACATAATTATTTCTTAATTGAAAACAACAATTTTGATGGAGCAATAATGTTTTGCTCCTTGAATATGCATAACCCTTTGCTACGCTAGCTTACAACTACTTAGATACACATGAAAAATTCGACAGATACATACTTACAAGTATTTATGCATTCATTATATCATACTTCGTCCCACTCTGATATTCTTAAGTGCCTTAAGTTGACTTTTCCTGATATATGTAACGAAGTCCATCTGATTCAATATCTACCAATAAATACGTGATTCTTTGTACCAATTGTTGCCTGCTTATACGTATAATTAAGTGCTACTTATGCCATACATACTCGTGGAGCATGCTTGTATCATACAGATACTTTTCTATTTGTGTTAAGCTCATAAAATACTTATAAGTTCACTATCACTTTGCGCCACATCCCCAAACTCTGCCCACCTACCATGGTCAACAAATCAGAGAGCATTGTGTTTGTTTGCGGGAAGCAAATACATTAATAATAACAATATACTTGTAGTTGTTGCGGTCCCTTCTGCAGCTGTTGTTGTTGTCCTCGTGCTTCGTTTTGAGGTGCGGCCAGGCACATAATTGCCCATGGAATCATAAGCTTAGCCATAACAATGAGCCCACGGTAACAACAACAGCAGATGACAAAACTAGACGGATTTCCATTACAAATAGCTTTCATTTTTATATACATATAGTATACTTATATTTTTCTGCATTTGGTCGCTTATAATTGAGACGCTTGAGCGCAACGTAAAGCTTCAGCTGGCCTATAAGCACCGGCTGGTTAAAGACAAAGGGGACTACATTTGACAAATGCTCTAATGGCTGCCAGACTGATGATAAAATGCAGATTAGAATCTGGTGCCGATGTATATATGTATGCATATCTCTCTTATATGTTCTAATTCGGGTAAAACAATTTGGTTGTAGGTTTACTTGTTAAGCTGATAGTTCATCTTACCAAACGTGTCGAAATTTATGGAAATGTGTAAGATTTTGCATCTTGATTAATAGCAATTTTAGGCAACTGGTCTGATGATGCATAATTGTCAAGTCAATGCATATTATGCAAATGAATAGGAATTGTGCACTATTGCTATCGGTAGCAAGAAAAGCAACCGTGTAACAGCTTTAATGACATGTTTGGCAAGAGTAAACGAAATTGCTGCAATAGTTTCGTAATTATGGGTAAATTCTGTTCACTCATTTATGGTAGTCAACAAAATTAGAGATAAACCGAACAGATCATTACTAAACATCTATTTAGTATCGGCAAGTGTTAAGGACCTACACTTACAAATTTACCTGCACCCCAAAAAGCTCCATAGTCAATATCTTTTACTTAGAAAACTTAAAAGGTTCAATTTTTGAAGTTTAATACCGATGATATGAGATTTAATTCACAATACTCGTATCTAAAATTTGCTTTGCTCCATGGCTGTGCACGTGGAATTGTTGATCTCTGCCACTACAACTATCTCTTCGTTCTCCTCCGTTTCCTCTGGCACCATCATTAGATTATTGTTTAACGTGTAAGGCTCGGCACGATAATCGCCTTCAGTGGTCGAGGTGCGCATGCGTCGCGTGAAGGAGGAGCGAGTCACATACGATGAACGTGTTGTGGACACACGTCTTAGCGCCCCTCGTCCATAAATGAGCATTCGAACTTCTACCCGAAACCTGGGATGCGTAGCCGCGTACAGGTAGGGATCCACGCAGGCCGCCGTTTTGCAGAAGAGCGCCGGTATCATAGAGCCCAGTGGCGTGATATGCTGTTCCAAGCCAAAGACACCCATCATGGCCACAATGGCATAGGGGGACCAGGCAAGAAACCACAGTCCTATAATTGCTGCAACTATAAACGTCAGCTTTTGCTCCGTTTTCACCTTATCCTTGTTCGACTGAATCCGATTCCCTAAAAACACCACCTTGAGAATGTAGAAGTAGGAGTACACGATGGCACAGAGCGGAACGCAATAGGCAGCCACGAAGAAAAGAGCCATAAAAATTCGTGCTGGAGTCTCCTTATTGAGATAATCAAAGCTACAGGTGGTGAGAAAGCCTTCGGGCACATAGACCGACAAGCCGATATCCAAAGCCGGCATGACGGAGAACGTAAAGCTGTAACACCAAATAAAAAAGATGATCACATAAGAGCGCAGGCGGGAGTAGCGCCGCAGCGGCTGCAACGGATGCACGACGACATTGTAGCGATCCAGAGCGATGGCCGTGAGTGTACCAATAGCAGAAGTTCCGCTCAGACCGCCCACAAAGCCATAGATCCGACAAGCTGTGAATGGTAAAAAGATAGCTATTAGCCCCACATCGATTGAATGAAAAGAATATGAACAAGTATATTTCCAATATTATATTTTGGTATCATTTTATATTTTGAACATATTGTGCCTTATAGCTATTAAATTGTTTGATGGGCCTATATAGTATACATATTGTGTAAGTTATATCTCTGTCAACTTATTAATTTTATTAAAGGAAGTAGTAAGGGACAATTATTCACAAAATATTTTAAAATAAATTTGTGCAAGTCACAAAATTCTTTTAAAAAAATAAATAAATAAAATGAATAAAATATAATTTCTTAATGGGGCAAACAAGCAATTAAAGCACAGTTTATAAATGTACATAAATAGTTTATTGAGTAATTTTATTTGAAAATGACTGGCTTGAGTTGTTGAAACTAATTTTAAATAAGCTCAAGAAAATTCAATAAAGCAGTTTATTTAATGCAAGCAAATCCTTAAAGATACAAACTACTAACAAAAATGATTAGGAAAGATGTACCTGCATCACCCAAGGCCGGCCCTTCCTTGATGTTATTATAAATTGCTATGGGGCACTTGACGAGCATCAAAAAATCGCATATAGCCAGATTCATAACGAGTATGTTGGCCGGCGTGCGCAACGATTTGCGGCTGCCGAACATGAAGATGACAAATGCGTTGCCAATGCATCCAACAACTGATATGAGGCAGTACAGGGCCGCCATCATGTAGAAGGTGCTGGTGCGTGGAGGCTCGAACTGCAGCCAGAAAGGATTCACTTTGGCTATGTAGGACAAATCGTATTTGTCACGATAGTGTATATAACCCGGGTAGGCGCTGTAAATAAACAGAAAGTAATTAGGCATTCATCTCTTTGTGCGAAATACATTTTTGAAATTGTTATTTAATTGGCTGTAAACTTTATTGGGTCGCATGCTTTTGTGCCTTGCAAAAATTCTATTGTGTAATTAAATCTAAATAAATGAGGGTGTTGCTGTAGAAGGCAATTAAATTAATTGAATTTGCCGCTAATGGTGACTGGTTCAGGTCAGAGGCTAAGCAATGTCGAGATATAAACGCCAGGAACAAACAGAAATTATAAATTATTTTAACCTTAGTGGTGTTTACAGCATTCATGATTAACGGGATGGTACTTTGCTGCTTTTACACATATACAGCATATTTATACATATGTATATACATATACATGTACATTTACATTATTATTCTAATTAAGGAAGCATTGATAATTAATATTGGCATTGTTGGCATTGCATCCCAGTTAAAAGAAAAAAATAACTCTTTTAATCGCGTGGCATTAGAGTTTGTTTCAAAAAAAAATGATACAATTTCAAACTTTTTTGAAACATATTTCAATTTTAAACTCCGGAAAAAAGTTTAAAACTCCACACATTAAATGAATGGAAGTATGCAGATAATTAAATAGTAGTATATTTTCATTTAAAACAAATGAATTACTCTTATGCCATTGCCAAACCAAAGCTTGATGTTGCAACTCGCTTAAACGTAAGTAAATATCTGTATATGTGAGAGAATGAATAAAAATTAAAATGTCAAAATCATGGTAAATATGCATAAATAATCCTAATAGAAGGATATTGGTACAATCCTCGTTTTCGCAAAGATAGGGGAATGATTTATTCGCTGAAAAAAAAAAAAACAACAACAATATAATAATTATTTGCAGTGTAAAAGGCTGAATTTAATTCTGATAATCATGTTAAACATTGAAGATTTTAAGGTATGGAAGTGCCTAAAATTTGGGTATACTTTCATTGCGAATGAACAAAGTATTTGTAAATTCTTGTAATTTCAGGATAATAATGAGAATTAATGCTACTACTTTGTATGGATTTGCATTTGCAAAGCCCAACTGTAAGCCGCGCAGTCGTCTTGACACAACAAGGTAGAATTGTAATTGCAATATGTTTTCTTCACAGCTAAATTGTGCAGAAGTTGCGCTTTTGTGCAGTCCCATTTCTCACCTCAACCCTGTCACACTGTCATTCACGGCATGCTTGTCGTGCACCTTGGCTGCACTTCCGGCGTTGGCCGCTGCTGTTGACGTTGTTGCTGCCGTCGTCGTGGCATCCACAACTGTCACATTCTGGGCGCTGGTGGTGCTCCTGTTCACGAGGACTTCGGTGAGGGCGCTGGTTATCCAGAGGCTGCCCTCCTCTGTCGTCAAGGTGGGCAGTGTCGACATGATGGTCTCCATTTTGTCCTCTTTCGTCTGCTGCTTTACGATAATGATTTTGGTTTTATTGCTCTAAAATTTTGCACAGGTTTTTGTTGTTTGTAGAAGTAAGCGCAGCGGCTGCCCTCCGTATTCGCAATGCACTACTAATCCGTGACTTTGTTGCGTTGGTCGCTTATTTACTTGCTGTGGGCTTGATTAGCCCACTTAGTATTATTGTCCATAGCTCGGGCAGACACAAAGCCATTGGCTTGGCACGTTTCTCGACAGCATTAAGTCAGGTTCGACTAGTGGTTTCTTCCTGCATTTGTACAAAAGCAGCTGAAAAGAGGAAGGATAAAAATTTAGTTACGTTTAATTGGCGCTCGCTTGATTTCATTATGGCTAATTTTTGTATTCTAAAGTCTATAATTAAGCCAACCGCTCGGACTGTGGTTGACATTTGGAACCCATTGTGCACGAAATTCGCCCTGAAAGCTGCTTTTATTTTCCTTTCCTGCGGTTTGCAGTTCAACTGCTATTTCTAGCCAAAACATCGTTAGAATATCCTATTACTAGTTTCCAGAGAACTATATCCGTGTATAATCTTCTGGGCATTAAATGACGCTGCTCTCCTTTTAACATTTAACACAGCTCACGTCAAATTATATAGTACATAGAGATGGTACGGTGTTCTAAGTGCGCTGAATTATGAAGGCAAGCGTAACGTAAAGTTTGCTCAACTTGAGCAAAACAAGCCGTTGGCTTAAACCTAAACATAATCCCAACATAAGCAGGAGCAGCAGGTGAGCAAGAAATGAGCAAAAAATTGAATAGGAGCAGCATGAAAATGATAACATTGCGCAAACTTTCGGGGCGCATTAAACGCACTAAGCGCAATAAAGATGATGATAAAGGGTGTGAAAATGTAGCGTAATTGAAATGAATTTAAAAATGTGTACTTATCGCATTTGTCAAGCTTCAAAATATATTAATTTCCACATTCGTGCTCAGAAGTATTTTATTCAGATAAAAGCATGATATTGAAAATTTATTTAGCATTTAAATTGCATTTTGAACTACCGACAAATATTTGCTTGGTCTACTTAGACCACAAGCATTAGAGTAAGGGTCAAATTTATACTAATCATAATGTACATAACGAGAGACTATTCCTACAATCGACCAGAAGGTCCCATTGCTGTGCATACCTGTAGGTATAACTGATAACAACAATCGGGTTAGTAGCCTTTGTACAAACTTGGATGGCATTTATCCGCTTTTTCATCTTAAAAAAAAAAATGGCAGCAGCAGACAAATTTTTACAATTGTCATAATTAAGGTAGCTCAGAATTATAAATGCATCTGTTTCACGAAGGATGACAAGCGGCATTTCAATCGAAGGGTCCGAAGTACCCAAATTTGTAGCCATCACTCAAACTTGTTGATCCAAGCAAGAATCCTGCAATACCTTTGCTGTCGGGCCTTACAATTGATAATTAAAGTTATTAATTGACAACAGGCGTTTGCCAAGAACTATTACAAAACCGCTTTAATTTACACTCAGAATGGCTGATTGCACCAAATACGTTCAAATATGTGTACATACAAGCACATGTGGTAAGTATGTTTATACTCTTGATTGCGGTAATCATACATATGAACATAGGTAAACTTACATCTTCATATATAACAATTACAGTCTGCGAATCTGTCTGCCATACTGGCATATGTTCATATGTTCATACATACTATACTATATATACTACAAAATAGGTCATTACTCAGAAACAATTTGACTCACATTTGTGAATTTGGGCATCTATGTATTATTCGTTGAGAAGAAAAAGCTGAGTGAAGCAGTGATACGGACACCCTTATTTTTATAGGACAAAAATAAAATTTGTATTGCCTCAAAAATGTTGTAAAGCAAACGAATGTATTTCTGTTTGCATGTATACTCGTATATGTTTGGACTTGCAAAGAGAAGGCAAGTTTAAAATATTGTTGTTAGCAGAACAATACATTGCAACGCGGTACTTCCAGCCTTCAGTAGTTTCGAACGAATATATAGTAAATTAGTATTTTATCAGCCTTTTTAGAATAATAAAAATACTTCTAAATATCGGCAAACACACACAATTTCGTTCAACACTTTAAGAACTAACTAACTTACACCAACTCGGCACTGTATTTCAGTCAGAATTTTTTGCAGTCTTACTTTTGCCATATATCTCGTATTCAAAACAACATATCCAACATGTTGATGAAATAATGCGAAAAAATGTCTGAAATATTCTAAATTCGCGATTAAAGTATCCAAACGATAAATAATTGTGATAACAACTATTCTACGCTTAAGTTAGACCAAATTACAGATACATGCAAAGTTTGATTAATGACAAACATTGTGACAAGATGTTATATATATAGAAGATATCTATTGAGATCAACTTTAAAATTATTTCGCTAATAATTTTCTTGTAAATAAAAAACAACATCAAAATGGACTAGTCACAAAAATTGTGTTAATTAGTAAGTAATCGATCCTTTTATTTCGTGAATATCGTGAATGTGACAAGGAACTGGTATGGCAGTGTTTTTATGACACGCGATCAGCTTCAGTTGTTGCTTTCGTAACTTTAGCAGTTTTGTGTAACAACTTCGGATTCGAGGAAATTCGAAAAGTATTAGTAGCTATGGTTTCATGTTCAGCTGGCTCAAAGCCAACACTAAAAGCCCAGATATAACAAAAACCATCAAAATGACAACGATAGCAATGAGGATTGAGGATTATGTAAATGACGAGGCGTTTACATTTAATTAAAGCACAATAATTACTTATTAAATAACTGGCAGCTTGGCAATGGCCACGTGAGCCAAGTTGCATGTGGCAAGTGCTGCTTAACAACACTTGGTAGCAGCTCAAGCCACCAAACTCAAGGAACAGGCAGCGAAATGACAAATTCTTGTGCCACACTTCGGCATGCCAAGAAAACTTTCTTGTCGAACAACTAAAGCAACAACTTCAGCAACAGCGACAGAAACAACAAGAAGGGGAGCTGAAATAGTCGACACAGTCCCACAAAAGTTTCTTATTACATATATTTACAACAAGTCTCAGTGGGTTCCGAAAGTCAGTGAGCACTTTGTCGGTTTGTCATCGTCAACTCGTTGCCTTTGTGGAAAATATAGCTTTGAGACTTGCCGTAGCTCCTTGTTGTTGTTTTTGCTTTCCTAAATGCTGCACTAATTGGCCAATTGAATGATGTTGGGGCCACGCGCGAAAACACATCCAAGCAAAGGCAGAGGTTTTGCTGAAATTCAATGCAATAAACATATATGCATAATATTCACATCTATTCAAATATAATCGGATGCAGTTCGCATGCCAATTAATCGTAGAAATTATACCCACACTAACTTGCCAAACAGGCAGTAACGGTAGCAACAGATTTTACGAGTATCACCAAAGGGCGGCTTGCACCCTTCAGATGTAAGCAAATCTTTCGTAGAAATCTGTTAAGAGGTATACCGTCATGTATATTAATTTGTTTCAAATAACCATAGTAAATATAGAAACTATAACATAGAAGACTTTAGTTGGTGCACTAAGGACAAACGACGAATGAATTAAATTATAACTTAAGAATTTAAGCACTGATATACTAGTTCTAAAACACTATATACTATATGTATGTAGTTCTTGACAAAAAGAAACCTTATACAATTAGGTCCGAAAACCTGAATGCTATAATTACATTTAAAATCCCCGCTGAAGTTACTAATAAACTACGGAAGTAAAAGACATTTATATTCCAGCAATTCTAATCATATACTTGTATATATAATACTAATATACTAAATAGCTTGTTCTCGTATTTTCTATTTTTAAATTCAAAACCATTTTTTTTTTCTCCGCCGATTTAAAAGCTGTTAGTTTTACTCGTATGCAGCACTCACATTATAGTGAGTTGTTAATATTCAAACGACACGTAGTACTTTCGATGCTATGAAGCAACGACCATTTTAGTTTCATTTGTGTAAGTCTTCAGTACTCTGTACACACCCGTACATATGTACATATGTATATGTGCCTATGAATATTTTCCACATATAGTATAGTACAGTTGTTTGTTTACGTTAAGTGCCTCAACTTTTGTGAAGAACTCTTGGTCTCGTGCCAGCAAATTGGACGCGTATCTCCGCTTAGATTGAAAACTAATGCATTGGCGGGAATTGTGCGAGACATGCATTTTAAGTTTCGCCAATGTCCTCCGGCTGTTTTCGCAGTCCTCGTGACAGCTTTGTAACTTACTAAGAACAGCAAAGCAAAGAAGTTCCTGGTTGGCTGGCTATTTTCATTCCGGCCTTTGTGCCAGAAGCAACAAGCAGAACGTATTAAAGCACATTTGCCTTTTATCCGATTTTTCTTCTTTCCCAATTCTCTCATATTTTCTTCTTATGTTGCTGAGGCACTGTCACACTATCTTGTACTTTCTTGCTCTCAGTTGAAAAGATGGATTTAAAAAATTGTTCTAAAATAAAAATAGCCTGCAAACATAGAAAAGTTTTACATTTGAAAGAAATTCTTTTCTAATATGTGAAAATCATGATGATTGCCCAAAGTGAGAAATTCGCTTAAAAGACTAAATATGAAAAATGGATTTCTGAATCACGAAGTATAAACGTATTAAAAATTGATTGAAAGATATAAAATAGTATCACAATAACAGAAAATAATTATTTTCTAAAATATAAATATTTACTTTTGTTGGGAGTTTAGCCAAAGAAAATCCTCGTCCTTGATTCTTTCAAAAATAACTTCTTTACGAGTACAGAAATTTCGTTTGATTTTTCAAAATATTTCCGCAATTTCCATTTATTTGTTTTTTTTTAAAAAGTGATCTAAAAATTACGCCGAATTTCTTTTTCTTGTTACATACAAAAAGCTATTTCCCTAATTATGGTACAATGTCGGGCATATTTTTTAAGCGCATTTCAATAGCATGCAGAAATTTCTCCAACATTTTTAATGAAATGGTTTGTACTTATTGCATAAATGATTGCTGCTATAGCTGTTGTTGCTGCTCTACTAACTGTATGAAATATTCGTTAGCTCAGCCATTTTGTCGCCATTTTTGTTCGTAGTTGCAATTTAATTACGCAAAATAATAAATAAAAAGAAAAGTGATTATAATGTTTCGTTGTCTAACCATGGCGGTTCCTGGTGCTGTTGCTGTTGCCGTTGTTGATGTTTTTATTTTTGTTGACGTTTTTTCTTTTATAGCTGCAACAATTACGAGCCCATTTGCAGTTTAACGGAAATTGCATAAGCACGC